ATTTCTTTAATTTTAATAAATACTTTCGTTTTTATAAAAATGTTCCAATACAATTCTAGATAAGTGGGTTTTTTAAGGGACAGTGAAATATGATTGATATTTTCACTTATGTGTCGAGAAACTGAAGTAGGAATAGAATTTAAGATAAAAATAATTGTTCTATTTATCGCCAACATTTCTAACTCAGTTGATTACTTTACAACAGGGGTGTCAAACTCGCGGCCCGAGATGAACATTTTTGTGGCCCAGTCAATATATCCGAAGCAAAGTAAAAATAATTTGGAAATGTGAATTAGAAACGAAACCAGCATATGAAATTATAATATACTTTATTTATAAACTATACGGATTATTATAAATTGTACGCGCGAAAAAGTAAAATTCTAATTGGCTGAAATGGAGTCCGTTTCACATTAAGCTATCAATTAGATAGTACATATTCAGGTTTATCCTACTACAGCGTGGTAAGTTGGTTATCTTGCCCCAAGGTTCTCAAACAATTCTGGGATTCGAAAGAAGAAATATGTATGTTTTTACATACTAAAAATCAAGATACGAGCTTGTTCTCCTCCAATTAAATATGGTTGCAAGATTTATCTTTTATGGTTGATAGAACCAAACACTTATCCGATTTAAATTTATTGTTACAAGGCAAGGATCAGATCATTACAAACATGCTTTACACAACTAAAGTATTCAAATATAAACTATTTCTTTGGGAAAGGCAACTGAAAAATGAAGATTTAACGCACTTCCCAACGTGCAACAAGAACAAATCTAGTTTAGATCATACTGCATCGTAACAAAAATAAGCAAAAAAAAATTTTAAGTCTTAGAACAGATTTTGAAACAAGGTTTAAAGATTTTAATTCTTTGGAAGACAAATTTTGTTTGTTTTCTTCGATTTTCTCAATAAATATAGACTCAGTGCCCAGTTATATGCAAATAGAAGTGATTGAGATTCAGTGCGACTCAAACTTGAAGGCAAAATTCATTGAAGTGGGTGTGCCTGAATTTTACGAATATTTACCGCAAGGTTTGAAAAATACTCGAAAATTCGCATATAAAATTATTTAGTATTATAGAATTATTTTAAGTAAGTACTTATCAGTGAGAGCAATTATTTTCTGTTAGGAATGGAAATAAATCTCCTGTCCGAAACCCTATTAATAACGCTCACGTTGGGTCAATTTTGAAAGTAAATTCCCCAAAAGAAGTATTTTGAAAGTATTCCCCAAAATAGTAATAGAGAAGAGATGTCAAGTATCAGGGCGTAAACAATAATTACATATTCAAAATAAAAATACTTGTTTCTATGAACATTGAATTTTTTTTCTTTTTTTTTTTCGGCCCACCTAAAGTTAAGCATTGTCTATTTGGCCCAAGTTAGCTTTTGAGTTTGACATCCCTGGTCTACATCGGCCGACATTGTCAATATTGGCGAAAATCGACATTGTTTGTACGATTTCCGTCGATTTCACATTGAAAGTCTGTTGGTAAAACTTTTCATTTTAAACTTTATTGTGTTCTTAAATCAAAATTAATCATTTAAAAGACAAAAAGTGACGTCAAATTGTTATAATTCCAAAAAATAAATTTAAAATATAAATTTAGAGATATCCGAAATGCCGAGAGATATCAATCGACGTTCTCCAACGTTTTTACAATATCGAACAATATTGTTTCGCGATATTGGATATACGTTATAAAAGGGGTCCATTTCTATATAGTACAATGTTTCGCTACGATATTGTACAATGTTCAAAGCTAAGTTTTTACGATATCGTGTTCGTGAATTGTGCTACTTGGGTATGGCAACACTTAAGAGGACGCCATACCGCGGAAGAAAATTTTCTTTTCAAATTCTCTTTCTCCTTTATTACTAATTTATAAGAAAGAAAAATTAAGTTCAGGCACATTTAAAGTAAGTCATAAAGTTTCAGTTGCTGAAAAAACCCCTTGGCAGATTCGCGGCGACATTGTCGCAAAACTTTACAGAGATCTTGCAGAAAGATTTTTCCTTTGGAAAGTGAAACATTTTGGTTTGCTTTTCCACAGAAATTTACACGTAAGAGTTGAATAACCACTTTATGAAGCTCTCAATTTATGCCGATACTATTGTGAATCCATTTTGATTGTATTTTCGGCAGTTATTGACATTTCACGTGGCTTTTAGATATCCTGATATATTTCAGGCGCTATGGGGAAATTGGAACTGCGCATTTGATCATTTACTTTTTAAGGCACTGATTCTATCGATTTTTTTGGCAGTTTATTGCTTTTGATTTCCACATAGTTTTTAAAACCCGATTTTTTTTTTTTTGCGGTATTATTTATTACACCAATCAAATCTTGAAACGAAACATGCATTTGAGTAACCCCTTTCTGAAAAGTCCGTTTCGCGTGATTACTGCTACAGAATCCATGATATTTAATTCTTTTAATGTGATAATTGCAACAAAATGCGATGATCCAACAAAATGCTAGAATATCGTACATATGATAATAATAAAAGAAGAGAAGTGTATATTACATTATTCAATTAAAAAAAAAAATATTTTTTTTTTGTAAACACAGCGTTTTTGTTACTTTAAATTGCCTAGTAACATACATCTTTGTTATTACAGTACAGAACCCGTTATCCGGAAATCAGAAAACCGGAACGAAATTCGATACATTTTCCCGCAATTTTTTTAAAAAAAACTTTTTTTTCCTAAGATTTTAGGATTTTTCTTTCTTTTTTGAAAGATGTTTACCTTACCATCATTTCAGAAATAATCATTAGTGTATTACCTCATCGTTTTTTTCTTATTTTTAAGATTATTTCCAAATATTTTTTTTTAGTTTGGTTTAACACTAAAAAAAACGACTTTTTGTAGCGATTCAGAAAACCGGAAAAATCAGTTATCCGGAATAGCGATAGTCCCGATCGTTCCGGATAATCGGTTCTCTACTGCATTAAAAGCCTCTGCAGAAAAATGTTAGTGCTAGAAAGTTTTGTCGCAGAAAGCCCGAAAAAATTCTTCCACAGGGCTGGTGAAAAAATTTAAAAATATTAAAATGGTTGACAAATTATTAGAAGAGAACTTCTTTGTGGTGTAATTCTAAGTTATCATCTCGTAATTTATTTTCATTTGTGTATTTTAAAATTTTCTTTTCAGCATTTGAAACTTCATGGTTTACTCTAGGTTTTTCTGAACTCACTTTTTCTACACTTTAAATTAGCAATGAAAGAAAAAGCGAATTGCGAGGAAAATTTTCTTCCGCTGTATTTCGTGCTCTTATGTGGATTTTTGTTTTGGGGAAATTTTATGTTTTTGCCACTGAATGACTCCAATTAAATTTTTATCTTTATTCCAGATGGCTACCTGGTTGATCCTTGTTTTTATCAGCCCTGTCACAAACACAGCAAATGTGTGCATATGCTGAACGATTACCGATGTGTTTGTAGTACTAGATTCAACGGAACAAACTGTGATATTGATCTTGGTAAATATGTGTACTTTTCTCCCCTTTGCTCAAGAATTTCATTAAACATGGTGCTTAGCGTTTTTAAAAAGTGCTTATTTTCGTTTTTTAAAAGCCCTTATAGGTGCTTTTTTCGTTGAGTGTTTTTAAAAGTGCTTAATTTTTCCCTTTTCGAAAATGAGATTTTTTTTCTTTACCATGTCAATTTTCGGTACGTATTTCTTAAAAGCGTGGTTTTCACATTGTTCCATTTATCATTTTACATGTTAATTTTAGTTTTTATACAATTAATAAAATTTTTATTTTTAAAAAATTTAACTTTTTTTTTTTTTTTTTTTTGTCCTACACTTTTACTCTGTGGTAAGAATTAATACAATACTGTATAATTAATATTTTCTAAAATGTTAAGTCTCCCAGAAGTTTATTTAAATTTCCAAAAAATTATGTAATGAGTTTTTTATTTTATAACTGATATTGAATAGCCGACTCAACTCTAGGTTTACGAGTATCAATGTGCAACCCTGTAGCATTGTAACTTTGAACCAAATCCAGAAGACAAGGGACCTCTCCTGGATTAAACATTGGTACAATCTAGTCTTCATGGAGGACTTTTTGATGGAACTAACCCGGATTTGCATTGCATGGAGTGAAAAACCTCTCGTGGTTAGTCCGAAGGCAAGGGAATTTTAACCCATGATCCGCCTACAACTGAGGGTATTTTATGTTAGTAATGTGGCCAGTGTGAGCCGGGAGCAGAATTAGAATCAACCAGCCGTTGCCAGGATTTGAACCCGATAGTCACCTCATTGGGAGGCGAACTCTCTATTTCCTTAACTTTTTATTATTTAAAATTGTTTTCTTTCCTTTATTTAGTAAAATAATTTTTATTGTTATTCTAGGTCCTTTATGTGATAAGCCAGAATATAATCAGTGTCAAAATGGTGGTACCTGCCAAGAAGATAGTCTTGGTAACAGTACTATGTGTGCCTGCCCCCCTATATTTACTGGTACCTTCTGTGAAACAATGGTGGACAACACATTTTGTGATTTTATGCCGTGTCGCAATGGAGGCACCTGTAATATTAACCAGTCAAGAAGTGGTTATGTTTGCACATGTCCTCAAGGTAATTTCTCTCTTAAGTATGCCTTTAAGGTATGTCTTTAAATCAGCTATGACAAGTTTTCAATAAAACCATTGGAAAAACCACCCCGAAAAAATAGGGATTTCTTTCAACTTTAAGTTGAAGAAAAGGAAGAAACTGTTTTAACAAAACGATATACTAAATATATGCGATAATATATAATTACCAATAGCAAACTAATTTTTTAATCTAATACTGTTTAGTATGAATTCTCAAACTAACTCTTAAATAATATAAACTATAGATTTTAAAATTGCTGTAAAAAATTTTCTTTTTAGAAGTTAGACGTGAAGAAGTTTTAACTTTCCTGTACTATATTAAATTTCATTTATTGAAGTTTAAGCTTTTCTTCTAAATCTGTGTACAGTTCTTTTTTAGTTTCTTCCATTTTGTCCAGTTTGTGTTTTACAGTGTTCTAGAAGAAATAGGTTTCTTCTAGACGAAATTTCAACTGTTGTTTCAACAGATATTTAAATTGTTTTATTATTCATATTGATCATTACTCATCTTGTAAGAATTATTTAAATTTCATTTGCTTGTTACATAAATTTTTTTTTAATAAGAATATCACTAGTTTAATTGTTCTCTATACTTTTGGATTTTTACCTGAATGCTAAGAAAATATTAAAACTGGATTATTACTTGATTATTTCTCAATTTAAGTATTTTTATTTATGCTTAACTTACATTAAAAATAAACGTAATATTTTATTTTTAATTCATTTTTATATTACAAGTGTTCAACAGGTGAAAACAAATTAATTTTAATAAATATTGTGTACAACAGCTCAACAGTTATACCAAATGTGGTAATTTTGATTTGTTGAAATTTAACAGTCAATTATTAACTATTCAGAATCAAAAACCTTTATAGGATGCGTAGCGTTTTTAAAAAGTGCTTATTTTTGATTTACATTTTTAAAAATTTTTAAAGGTGCTTTTTTTTATTCGGGGGTTTGTTAAAAGTTTTTAATTTTCTATATTTTAAAAAGAGATTTTTTCTTTGCAGTGTCAATTGTCGTTCTAAATTACAAAAAATGCATGATTTCCTCAATTTTTATCTGCAATATTTATCAGAAACTAGTTATTTTATCATGATTATGTGAAGTTTGTGAAAATGTTTTTGAATTTTATTAATTCATAAAGAAGTTCATAAAGAATTTTAAACGATGGGAAGAAAAAAATTTTTTACTGCACAGATCCTAATTATGATTTTTTGTTTTGTTTTTGAAAGTGCTTAAAAATATTTTTTGAGTGCTTAAAAAGTATTCAAAAGGTGCTTATTTTTTGTTGAAAAATCTGACTACGTACCCTGCATTTAGTCATTTTTAACTTCAGAGCAGTCAAAATTGCTTATACTCCACAATTCTGCTAATATATATGTTACGGTCAATGTAATTAGTTGCTGGTTATTGTTATTAATAACAAGGTAAGTCGGTTGAAGTGAGTAATCTGTCAGAAGTTCCGTTTACCAGTTATTAATAAATTGCAAAGAGGTTTGGTCAATGGGATAATTTAAAAATGCCTTGCAATTTCGATTAACTATACAAAATTTCTTAATACAAAAAATATGTTACGAAATATCAAAATTTTTTTTATCTTAATGACATAAAAGTTATATTTTATAGCATGTAAACCTTTGCTGTAATTGTATTTTTTAACAATAAATGCATTAAAATCAATCCATGATCTGTATCAGATTTTATGCAATTCATTAAATCTGTATTTTGTAATGATATTAAGATTTATGAACTCTATATTTCACAAATTTCTTATTCATTAATAAAAATAATGATACATGAAAATTAAACTTTCTGATAGTCATAATTATAAATTAAAATACAAGTAAAATCATTAAACACAAGTAAATTCATGTAATCTTTTTTTTTTTTTAACTGTACTTACATCTACAACAGATTTATCACAGCAACAGCATGTAGACGTATATAAATTACGTTAAGAGTTGAAGTTTCGATAAATATCCCAAATTAATCAGACTGACTAAACTTAATTGACAATTATTAATAATAATGCCCACTTTGTGGAAGAGAGGAAATCATGAACAGGAACTGGAATTTGGACAGGACCAGGGATGCAGGACTCTGTGTGGGGGTTCCGAGGTGAGTTGATACTGGAGCGCTCGACATCTGCTGATGGGACATTGGCTTTTTTCTCTTGTTCTTTTTTTCCCTGTTGTTTGCTAATCTTATAAGAGTTTGTCATTTTCCTTTGCCATTGGAAATATAAAAGCATTATTAATAATAACCGGTTAATGGGATTATTGTACATAATGTTTTCTTATTTACCAAAAAGCTTATTTATTGTTAATAGTCGCCGGTTATGATAATAATTAATGATAATGACCATTTATGTAACTTTAACCATTTGCTACGGTACCAGCCTTACCTGATGTGAGGCTAAAATATTCTTCCTCTTTTCTTTCATAATTTGAATTACTCAGGTTATTTTAAATTTCTGCATTTTTGGGGATTTTTTTTTCAACCTTGACTTGACTATTTTCCCCACTATATTAGCAAGCCTATACAAAATCAATTTTAATGTTATTTACATTCCATTTTTATCTGTTTTAAGGTTTTGCTGGTGTAGATTGTGAACTGAATATTGATGAATGTCAGTCTTTCCCCTGTCAGAATAATGGTACCTGTACAGATGAAATAAACTCTTATTCGTGTGACTGCTCTGGTACAGGTAAGCTTCTTTCTATTCTCATTCTATGCTAACTATTTTCAATCAGTTACAAGTAATCGTTTTTGTAATTAGATATTGTTATTGAAAAATATATTTTTTCATCTAATTGTTAAAAAATTTTTTAAAATTTGCTTTATCAGGTTATGGTTGTTAATTAATTTTCGTACCATTAATTATTATAAGAATCAGTCTGAGTCTAAGATTCATCATCATAATAATCATAGTTGGCTAGACAGCCTAATGTGGGCCAATGCCTTCCTCTGAAGATTTCTCCATGACGACTTCCGATTTATCTTTAATCTCCAACTCTTCTCATTAATTGCAAGAAAATCAGACTCCACCGAACCACCATCTCACCCGTGGCCTTCCTCTCTTTCTTGTTTCATTGGGTCTGAAATCAATATATTTTTTATTGTATTGTCATCACTTATTCGAATCAAGTGGGCCATCCAATTCATTCTATTTATTTTTCTGCATTTATGAGTTTAAAATTAAAGTAGTAAAATTCAGTTGTAAAATATTCAATGCTTTGCATTAAAAAAATTATATTTTATTTTCAACATCTCAAATTTCTTGCAAACATTTAACAATGCTTTACAAACAAGTGACTCAAAAAAAAATATTTTGCTACACATTTTAAAAATGTAAAATATATAAATATTTTATGCTCTGAATTCCTAGGTATTTGACAACTTCAATTAAATTTAAGAACTCTATAAACGAGGTTTTCTAATTGTGTTTTAAAAAAATAATATAGTTTTTATAAAATTTGCTATTCTTGTTCACAGAGATCAAAATATGTCATTTGCTAAGGTTTTAAGTATAAGTTAATGCAGTGTTTTCATCATAGAAAAAAAATGGGTGAGAATTTCTCACCCTTTCTCAAAAACAGCATGAGGTTTCAAAAAGTTAATTGAGATTTCTAAAAACTAAAAAAACACAAAAACTCTCGAAAATAAAAATCATTTCTTTAATTATAATACATTTTTAACGTCTTCTATTTTTTAAAGCATTGAATATTTTTGGTGCATCATCATAGAAGATTTTGCCTTTACAAGGTATTTGTCCATCTTACATTAGCACATAAAAAATTTGAATATCTTACATGAAGAAACCTTACGTATGTTATAAACACGTAGTTGCAGAGAAATGTGTTCTGAAAGGGATCCCGTGGTTGTGTTCTGTCGTTCCAAAAGGTTCTGAACAATACTGGTAAATAGGGAAGCTAGATAACGGGGCAGATGTTGGAAATAATGAAAGATCCAGGAAGAAAAGTGAAACGGATTTTATTCTAAATGGCGTAATTCGAAGCTTTTTCCAAAATTCGCGAATTTTCAAATTTTATTTATACTATGCGCTAATTTCTCGCGGTAATAATTTTTTAATGCGAGAAAAGAAAAAAATATGCGAGATTCTCGCGTTCTCGCACTGTATTGAAAACACTGGTTAATGGTTAAAAATTATAATTAGGTGATGGCTTGGGAAGCAATTAATTTTTAATAATGTGATACAAGATGGTCATCACAATCCAATGTTATTAAACTTGTAGTGTTTTCAATATAACTTTCAAGGAAACAAACAACAACTGAACTTGGAAGCTTGATGAATCGAGCTTTCTTCGGTGGTACACAAAAAATAACAGCGCTATTTTAATACCAAAATAAGAGAACGCTTAAAACATGACTAACCTCACACTTTTTTTGTTCTGTGATATTAATTTTGTTACATTTGTTTTAGGCTTACAATCTGTTGCCTCGTGAAGATAACATAAGTGGAGGGGTATGCCGGAAATTTTTGAAATTTTTTTCCGGCTTTCGGAAGCTTGTTATTGTTTACATTCAGTCAACCATTTATTATCAGCAATACAGTGGAGCATCACTTATACGACGATCACTTATACGTCGTTTACATTTATACGACGTTTTAGTGTGGTCCCAAATCATTCCTATTCATTTTAATGTAAAAATATATCGTTTATACGACACACAGAATCGGTTATACGTCGGTTTTTAGATTTTGTTCACGTTTATTTAATTTTTTATTTTTTCTTGTGTATTTTAAAAAAGGGCGGAATTTGCCAACTTGAATGATACAGAAAAGGGTACCAACAAGAATGCTTGGATGACGACCGTAATTTTTACTCGATGACTGAAACAATGTTATGAAGAGGCAAAAGCGAAAAATTTTGCTATTCATCGACCAATATTCAGCGCACCCATCAATAATAATTATTTTGGAAAATGTAAAAGCTCCCTTTTTTCCTGCAAATTGCACAAGTGCGCTTCAGCAATTAGATTTGGCCGTGATTAGAAATCTGAAATTGCATCATAGAGAGCAGTAAGTTCAACTCGCTATTCAAAGCATTGTAGAGACTAATAGCAAGAAAATATAATTAAAGGTAACATACATTCTAATTGCTCACTGCAATTATTCTTCTTTGGTTATTTGTTTGTTTTGCTTTGTCTAATTTAAAAATTTATATAAATCAGTCCGTTAAACATTAAAATTAACTGAAAACAGAGTTAGTTTCAGTTTTAAAAGTAAAAATCGATTATACGACGTTATCGTTTATACGACGTTTTTCAGTGGTCCCTTCGGCGTCTTATAAACGATGCTCCACTGTATTTTTAAAATTAGCCACTGTTAAGAATGCTACGACTTTTCTCTGACCAAAAACAAATTTTTTTTTTAATTCTGCTCTATTGTTAGCAGTGTAAAATAAAAGGGACAATTTTGATCTTAATTTTACCTTTCTTTGTGAGAATACAATTTTCTTTTTTCTATAAAATCCATTGATGTTTCTAAAAAAAAAGTTTTCATGGTCTTGTAAACATGATTGCCTAAAATGTTTGGTTTCTGTGCCATTAGTATTAACTAATTATTTCTATTTAGGTTACCGTGGGCCTAATTGTGAAGAAAATGTGAATGAATGCGAAGAGAGCAAGCCATGTTATACTGGAAGCCAGTGTTTTGACCGTTATGGTGATTACATGTGCGACTGTCCCCGTGGTTTTGGGGGCAAAGACTGTGATCAGGAGGTGAACGAGTGTGAGTCCAGTCCCTGCCAGAATAATGGTCAATGCATCGACAGTCTCAATGGATACTTGTGTCATTGTGTTCTTGGCTTTGCTGGGAAGAACTGTGAGGAAAATATTAATGACTGTAACGGCGTCACTTGTCCAGCAAATAGTCACTGTGTTGATGGTGTGAATACATTTTCATGTGTTTGCAATCCAGGATATGAGGGTGAGTTATTGTTTTTTGGTTATTTGTAAATTATATTTCTGGAGAAAGAAACTGTGAAATCTCTCGACTTTTTTTAAAAAAAACTTCTTTGTCAGTGCAACAGCCCCTTGCAGCCCGTGACTGCCTCAACAGCTGGCGAATGCTAGCGCCTCCTATCCAACGCAACTCCCTTCCAATTTCTAATCATTAGGGTTTTCAGGCCATTTTCGATTTTATTGAGCCTTCTAATGGGGGGGGGGGGTCTGCCTTTGGGACGTGACCGTTTGGGGTTCTAAAAGGAGACAATTCTCGTGGCGCTATTTTCAGAGCTTCTCCATAGATTGCTCAGCCTATTACTGCAGATTATTTGTGTAATTTGGGGTTGCTTATAAGTCGATAGAGCTCTAAGTTATATCTGGTTCACCAGTATAGCAACCCTAGCAACAATTTTACGACTCCGTTTGAGCTCAATATGGGTCCTTTATGAATGTGCACTGGGGGACCAATATTGGGTTGTCTAGAAGTTTTAATATGGGGCTTATATTGACTGAATAATGAATATAAAATGTTTGGTGAATTAGGCAATTCTATATAATATGCCAATAATGGTTAATAGCGGCTTGTTGAACCCTTACTGAGCCAAGATCCCTGTATATTAATCCAATGAAGGCCCAAGTTATTTTGCTGTTAGAAAATAGATTGAGAAACCTAGCCTCTTTTTGAGACAGATGGAAACTGCTTGTTAGGCTGCTGTGCAGTTGGAAGAAGAACCTGACTTTCCATTAAATCAGGGATCAAAATAAACATGTTGAATTGGATTTTTTAAAAATATGAATCAATTTCAAAATCATTTTTGATCACCCTAACTATAAATGTTGAATATTTAATATGTCATTTTAACAGCTAAGTCTCAACCTTCCCTTATAAACAATATGTCAATAAAAGAAATTTCCTATTACTTTTAACTCAACTGATGTGATAGGGGAAAATGTCCATTTTTTTATGTTCGATTTAATCTTCTTTTTAATTTAATTTTCTTTAGGGTCTGTACCTCATTGTCAAGAAATAGATGAGTGTGAAAAGGGGCCTTGTTTAAATGGAGGCTCGTGCCATGATCTCCTGAATGGGTTTGAATGTACCTGCTTAGATGGATTTGTGGGCAGCCACTGTGAAGTCAATATTGATGAATGCGAATCGTCTCCGTGTCGAAATAGTGCCACGTATGTTACGAGCTTCTTTTTTAACATCACATGAATGTTTGAATTATTTTTTTCCAATTATTATTATTTTTTTAAAATTTAATTAGCATATCAGTTTTCCATTTCAATCAAGGAAGAAAAAAAAAGCTATCTGATTTTTCAAACGCTTCGTTTTTTTTTCTTCTTAAAATTATTGCTTGAATACTTTTTCACTATTAAAAGCTATCTTCTAATATACACAAAGATGATTGTGCTCCTAAAAAAATCTGTATTTTTCGCTAATAAAGATCTGGAAATCCAAGGTCCAGAAGTTTCCGGAAACCATTGATCACATTTTTATCTAAAAATTCTTGTACATTTTATTTAAAAATATTAGAAGTAGAATTTATACTAGCACCTCTTTCATTTGTAAATGTTTTTTCTGGTAGAATAATAAATGTGATTAGAGATAAAAGTAAACTTATACATAATTAAAGACATAAATTTTTTGAAATGTGTCACTAATGATTTTAGTCAAGAAATTTTCAGGTTTTTTAAGGCTGGCTTACAATCGCCCCTGTTTTAAGTTGTAGACATAATTTATCATTTGTAAATAATGTCTTAAAGTTGCAAAATGCTTATATTGTTTTGCTATTTTTGTTACTGCTGTTTCCTGCCTCAAATATTCTATTCAAATAGTCATTCTTTTTAATTGTGTACTATACAAATTTTGTAAGAAAAGAATTAAGAAAAACTTGAGGCCCACTAATTACTAAATGTAAAATTAAAAATGTTATGACAAATACACCTATTATCTATAGTATAAGTGGTGCACGTATGTGTACAATTAGTGGCTGATTTTTTACAAGAATTAATATGAAAAACGCATAAGGAAATATCTTCAACAGCTTACAGCCCACTTCAGAACAATAGCCAATGAATTCAGAACCACTGTTTTGTGAAATGGTTTAGTAGCTAAGCATAAACTTGTTTCTGATATCATTATACTTGATAAATGCTCCTTTTTTAGTAAAATCCGTAAAAAGGATACGTAAAATAAATATTTAACATCAAACATGCATGAAATCTATGCTATTTGTTTGGTATTCTGGTGTATAAAAAAAAAATTAACTCTGGAACAGCATACCAATTAAATCAACTAAGTATTACTTTTACAATCTTATTATAGAAATTGTAAATTCATTTCTTTTAACCCTCTAGCATAATTGCAAAATTCTTTGACTTTCTTCAACTGGATTTCAGGGTCTACAGTTAAAGGGTTAGCTTAAAAAATTCATTGCATTGAAAACTTTTTACCTAATGTTCTTTTACGAACATTTATAAATCCGTTTAAGAATTCTGTGTATTTTGTAAAAAATTTAATATTATGCCTCTTAAAACTGGCTTATTAAAATTCTTTTTTTATTGTAATGACTTAAAAATTAAAATAAAAGGTATGTAAGATTTGATACTCTTGTGTAATGAAAAATTTGATGGATTAAGACTTAAATGCAATGAAGTGCGATTTCAAGTTTAAGAAGGTTGCCACATTTTGCGTAAACAAGAGATTTATATGGACAGGGTATCCACGCACCTGGAGAGTCATGGATTTCGTTATTGAACAAAAATTGTCAATAAATGTCATGATTTTAACTTTAAAAAAGAAAAAGAAAAATTATGGAAAGTCATGGATTTGGCTCGCCGAAAAATGTAATTTTTAAAATGGAAATTACTCTCCCCCCCCCCATTTCATGTTGTTCCGAGTAGCTGAATTTGTAACAAAAACCCTACTCACAGTTATATTTTCTCAAAATTTTATCATTTTCTTTCAAAAATTTAAAGAAAACATCATTTCTAGAGCAAGTTATCTTTCAAACTTCTGGGATTTCAGAATTTTTGTTATTATTTATTTTTTTTATTTTATTTTAAAATTCTAGCGGAAGCAAGCCAGTCATTCTTGAATTTTTTTTAATTCCGAAATGAGAACGGAAAAATCACTAATATTTCTTTCCTTTCGCATCAACAAGAAAAATATCTTTAGAATATAATTCTGCAGAAAAAAAAAATTATTTGCTTTTGTATTATTTGCTTTTTCAGCAATTTTATTGCTTCAACTCTTTCTTAACTCTGTTTTTTAAATTTAAAATCTATAAATATGAAGATGCAGAGTATAACAGATTTGGTTATACCTATCATTTCAATGAATGTTATTATAATGCTTTTTTTAAATTTATTGTTGTGTTTTTGTCAGAGAAAATAGTAACTTTGTTAAGTCATGAAAAACTCTTGGAAGTAGTCATGGATTTGAAAATCTAAAATGTAGCAGATACCCTGTATCGATTATTCGTTAAAGTCAATACTTAATAAAATATATTATTTATTTTAAAGTGTAGTGTGAGTGTCTTAGGACAGTTTAAAGATACTGAATTTGACTTTGTAGAATGTTAGAATATTTTTTTTATTAATATTGTTTTATTCCACTTCTTAGCTGTGTGGATGGCCCTGGAAAATACACCTGTGAATGTGCTCTTGGCTACTCTGGTATCAACTGTGAAGTTGACATTAATGATTGTGAACCAAATCCTTGTAATAATAATTCAAATTGTACTGACTTGGTGAGTAAAAAAAATTATTGCTTTTTTTTAATGCATTTGATTTTAATTTTCTAATGTGTGTGTATGAAATATATCAAGTTATATTTTTATAATAATGCTTTGCATGGATTTCTTTTATTATGAATTTTTTTGTTGCTTGTTTTGTTTTTTGCATTATTTAAGCTTTAAATGATTATAGTTTTTAAGAATATTTGTTTAAAAAATTTCAAGAAATAATAAAATTATATGGTTGTTACTGAAATTTTTAAGGCATTTAAGAAAGTTTCTTTTTAGCAAGTCTTTCTTACTTAACATATTATTAATGTAAAAAAATTCTTAAATGTCTCAGAAAAATGTGCACTTAATTAACCCATTTTTACCAAAGTGAAACATTGTATATCATTACCAAAATATTTTTCCTTTAAAATGTGTCTTAAGACAAGCCAAGCACTTTTGCACGTTGATGCACTTTAGTATTAAAAAGCAGAATGTATAATTTATCTTTTATTAAATAAGAGTAACAATTGATTTTCAAAAGGCTTTTGCTCATTTTTAAGGAAAATAAAATAAAATTGCCTGTTGGCTGGTCTGCGGAATAATTGTTGCAGAGATATTAAAGAAAATATTTTATTGTTGCGAATAAACATAATTAAGAATGTCGTAATTAGAAAAAATTTATATAGCAAAACAACTTAAGCAGTTTATGAAATCGGGAACAATAAGGAATAATTTAGAGGATTGTACAGATGACATTACCAAACTTGTTCATGTGCAATGCTGCAAATGAAAAAGCTTAACTAAATAGAGATAAGGGGGAAGTAAGTATTTAATTCTCACATTACCTCTAACTTAGAATTTTAAAGCATTCTGGCTGAAATCTACTTGATTAATTAAAAATAGAAAATAAGTATTATATACTTGTGTAGTTCATAACAAAACTCTTATGAATAATACTATTTTTTGCTTTTAATTAAATAATGAACAATTTGGTTTTTATTAGTTTAGCCATAAAAGTTTTAAAAATTGCATGAATAATCATTATCTCCATGCCTTGAAACCCTTTATTATTGCATGTTTGTGTTATATAAAAAGCATGCCTTGTTGATGTTTACTTCAGGTGAATGACTACTTGTGTGAGTGCCTTCCTGGTTGGGAGGGAAAGAATTGTGATGAGAATGTCAATGAGTGTCTCTCTTCCCCCTGCATGTATGGTCAATGTGTGGATTCCCTCAACAATTTTACCTGCCATTGTGATCTTGGATATGAAGGTAACTTAGATCCCTCTTTTGTTTTTAAACTCAAAAGTTGGAGCTCTGTTTCATAAGAAATACTATATTTTATGATTACTTTGGTAACTGTTTTGCTTGTCTATGTGGTGATATCGTTTTTTAAAAGTGCTTAAAGGTACTTATTTTCGTTTTTTGAAAGTTCTTAAAAGGGCTTTTTTTATTGGGTGTTTTTAAAATGAGCTTAATTGTCCCTTTTCGAAAATGAGAATTTTTTCTTAACCATGTCGATTTTCACCACTTACTGTGCAAAAGCGTGCTTTTCACATTGTTCTATTCAATGTTTTTGCAAGTCATTCAACCACAATCCATTTTGGCGTAACTTCTGTCAGTACCATTTAAAAGCGCCAATCATTTTACATGTTTGATAAAATACTTTGGATTCCTACTGAGCTGAGTTCGGTGAGATTATTGCACTCGCATGTGTAACTCTGCTGCTTTTTGCAAGATATTCTCAATTTCAAGCTTCATTTTCAACCCTCCGAAATAGAACAGAAAAATCTCTTGGATCATTTTTAATGGCTAATATAATCAAGAAAAGAGTTTTGTCAAAAACTAGTTATTTTATCATGATCGTGTAAAAACTTTGAGAATTATTTTTGTTAATGTATAGAGCATTTCGTTAATGAATATAGTGATTAAAAATATTTTTAAGTGCTTAAAAGGTGCTTATTTTTTGTTGACAGATTTGGCTGCACACCCTGTATGTTTTTAAATAGCAAAACGTTCACACATCAAGATACTTTATTTTTTAAAAAAGTTTTTGTTACGAATAATATTAACCTAAAAATGCTTATGTTTAACAATAATGTATTTATAATTAATTACATTAATAATGTTCAAGAAAACACAGTTTAGTATGTTAATAACATGAATATTATGGTAGTGTTATAGTGGATTATTAAAGAATGTATGCATAGCCTATTTCCCTTAATGGGCAGGTATTTCATAATAGGAACTTTAGTGCTTTTTTTCTACTTTTATTTTCTTTCCTCTTGTTCTTTTAGTTTCTTCAAACTTATTTCATAGATTTATTATATTTTGAATATTTTTGTGTTTGTTTCCGTATAGCGGATTTCAGCGACATGTTTCGAATAAATTTGCAATTTTGAAATCTGAAATCTATTTGGCACCTTGGCGATTGTAGTTGGTACAACAGATCATGATACGGAAATATCCCCTTGCATTTTGTTTAAAAAATAAAGAGTTTAAGAATAATTTTTGAGGGCTTGAAAAGTACTTAAGAGGTGCTTATTTTTTGTTCAAAAATTTTGCTATGCACCCTGTCATAGTTTTTTATGTATTGCATTGATCACTTAACAATTCTCTATTTCCAGGTGTTTTCTGTGATATAAACATAAACGAATGTGATTCCAGTCCGTGTTTTAATGGAGGTACATGCACAGATCTGATTAATGATTTCTCCTGTGAATGTCCCGAGAACTTCATGGGTAAATTCTGTGATGAAGTTTACGATGCCTGTAGCTCAACCCCATGTTCCAATGGTGGCACATGCCAGACCAATATACCGTCCCATTTATACACCTGCATCTGCCCCAATGGATTTCTTGGAGATCAGTGCGAAGTAGATATTGATGATTGTGTGGGAATACAGTGTCCAGCTGGAAAGATATGTGTCGATAAACCCAATGCATATGAATGCCGGTAATCCTTTTTCTTGAATATTCCTAAACTCTTAGCAATTGGAATTTTTTATATGCATATACATAGCTGCCATCTGTTCCGATTAAATCGTATTTGTTCTGAATTTTTTGCTTTGTTTCCAAAAATATGATTTTGAGTCGAAATGCTCTGATTTTTCGATAATCTAGCGCTTTTTCACTCCTAATGCCAATTTTCTTTTAACCCAGGGCAGGTCTATAAACTGGAAGCAGGGTTCCGCGCATCGGAAAGTTATAATCTGACAAAATTTTGAACTTTTGCTAAATCATGCTATCGAGACGTTTATGGTTCTTACATTGATTTGATTTGGTTGATTTTCAACATTTTAAATATTAGGAACTCCGTCAGAATCTGCTTATATCGCAATTCTTATTCACTTTATTTTAATACCAATCATTGATTTTGGTATTTAGATGGTTTGAAATTTACGCAATGCGATTCGTATTCAGGCGATTTAATAATTGTACATCATGACTCCTATTTACGCTATTTAGACTTACAATATAGCAAATTGTATTTTCTTGTTTTTAAAATCCAATGTAAGCAATACCTATTCACGCGATTTAAAAATCCAATATTGTGATTCTTGTAAGAAGTAAGTTTTTTTTTTAAATAGTTATTATAAAGGTGTGATATTCTTCATTAATAAGTAATTTAATTAAAACTGTTGGCTCAAAAATTATGTTAGATATGAAGCGTGTATGGTTTATAAATTGATATTTTGCTACCAATATTTTAATTTTTGATATTTTGTTTTACACTTTCTGTTATAATTTCCCCTGATTGGCTTATCATGCTTTGTGTTCCTATTTTTGTTTTTAACAAGTTGGCAGCTATGCATATATAGTTGAATATACCTACGTAGTTGAAAGATATCTTGGAATGTGAAGCATCTTTTAATTGTCATTTTTAGTAATGGATTGTTTAACTAATTTTAACTGTATTGATTGCAAAGCTATATTTATGTATTGATTTTGTATTTATTTTCCAACTTTATTGCAAGTTTATAATGTTTTGTAAATTTAAATTTTTGAGTAGGAAAGAAACTGCATAATCAGTGATTCCGCTTACTATAATGCATGAAATACGGTCAAAATCATAGAGTTTACACAACATGAAAAATGACGCTTTCCAGGAAATAAAAAATTCTCCAGCTAAAAAATAAATAAATAATGTGTAAGCAAAATTATAACCAAAATTTAAATATATATATATCTATAAAAGTTACTTTTTATTCTCTATTAGTAGATGAAAGAAAAAATTAAAATAATTTTGGTGATGCTATGTCACATTGCATTGCGTCAATGATTTTCCCTATGCAGTTGCATGTATTTAATCAGTCTTATTTGAAAGCCTTGGTTGTTCAAGTATAACTCTTTTCTTGTTTTGAAATTCCCGGTTTTCGCTATAAATTCATCATTTGATAGAATAATTTTGAATTCGAAAAGTAATAGATGGATAAAAAGGAAAAGAATTTATATTCTAAATAAGGACCAGTTTTTAGTAAAGAGGGACACAGAAGAGGTCTCTAAGGAGGGGGCCTTTTCAAAATTCTAGCAGAATCATTGATAATATTTTGTTTTCATATAGTAGATGCAGTAATTAAACTAAAGAAATTAATATTATTAACAAAAGTTTATTTAAACTAGTTTTTTGTTTCTTTTTTATAAGCCAATTTAAAATGCATATAAATTTATGTTTAGATGAATGTTAATGACTTAAAAAGTAATTCTTTTTTTTTTTTTTTTTTTTTTTTTTTTTTTTTTTTTTTTTTTTTTTTGCAATAAGTTTCTGTTTGTAAAGTTTGTATTTTAATTTCTGTTATAGTTTTCGTACGTGTGAAAATCTTAAGAAGTAGCAAACATTTAGTAGTTCTGTGGAATTTGAGCGGGAAAAGATTTTATATAAATTATTAATCTTTTTCAATTTGGTACTCACAAAATATCGGGTTTTTTTAAGTCATTCAAAGTAAAACTGATGGTATTGTATCATATTTAATCATATTAATAAAAGGAAGGCAACTCCTATAACTATATTATAAATCCTATAGAAGACAACACTGTTTAAATGCTTGATTTGTTTACCTACTCTTAAATTTTCAAAAATTCTCATTATTTCAAAACTTATTTTAACATGGTACATAGCGTTTTTAAACATTGCTTATTTTCGATTTTCGTTATTTAAAAGGTGCTTTTTTTCATCGGGTGTTTTTAAAATGTGCTTTATTTTCCCTTTTAAAAAATGAGATTTTTTTTCGTTACTATGTCTATTTTCGCCATGTATTATGCAAAAGCGTGCTTTTCACATTGTTCTCTTCAACGTTTTAACAATTCATTCGACCACAATTACATTCGGTCCTTAGAGTATGAAAGCGCCAATAATTTTACATGTTTGATGAAATAATTACGAGTCCGCATGCGTCGACTGAGCTGGGTTCAGGGAGATTATTGCACTCTCATGAGAAACTCTGCTGCATTTTGCAAGATATTCTCAATTTCAGGCTTTATTTTCCACCCTCTGATATTGAACCTAAAAATCTCTTTATCATTTAATGTTGGTTAATGTAATCAAGAAAAGAGTTTTTTGTTAGAAACTCGTTATTTTATCATGGTCATGAAAAAATTATTTTGCATTTTGTTAATGTATATAGTGCTTAAAAATATTTTTTGAGTGCTTAAAAAGTGCTTATTTTTTTGTGAAAGATTTGGCTGCGCACCCTGTTTAAATAGTAAAGAGATGTTACCAATTTGGTCTAAAAATTCTTTTGGATTTTTTTTTTAGCTGTCCTACAGGATATACAGGTGATGATTGCTCTTTGAATATTGATGAGTGCAGTAGCAACCCTTGTGTGAATGGTACTTGTGTAGATGGTATTGGAGCTTTTGCCTGCCATTGTCCACCAGGAATAACAGGAAAACTTTGTGAATCAGATGTGAATGAATGTGAAACCTCACCCTGTGCACATGGTATCTGTCAAAACATGTTTGGAACCTACCTTTGTTACTGTACCCCGGGGTACACTGGTACACATTGCGATATCGAGTTTAACGAGTGCCTGTCCATGCCTTGTAAAAATAATGCCACGTGCAACGACCTTGTGAATAACTACAGTTGTACCTGCGTGCCTGGATTCTCTGGTCGAAATTGTGAAACTGACATTGATGAATGTGCTCCTCTTCCATGCCAAAATGGGGCAACATGCCATGACTTAATTAATGAGTATCACTGCGATTGTATTGCTGGGTTCACTGGCATCAACTGCGAGATAAACATCGATGAATGTGCTTCTCATCCGTGCCTTAACCATGGAAAGTGTATTGACAAAATTAATGAGTAAGTATTTGTTTAAGTAAACCTGTTTGTTAATAATTTTTATGTGCTTGTTCATCTAACCAGCAATGTAAAATCATGTTTTCAAATTGGAATATTATAAAGGGCTACTAAGTTACAGAGTTTAGCTTAAAAACCTGTTTTGATATTTTGAAGAAAAAAATTTTTTTTTTCAGAGTTAAACAAAAAAAATTGTGATCAGCTGTTAAGCAGGATTGGCATTTCGTTCAAAAGGAAACAGTTCCAAAACAGTGAAAAACTGGACAAAATGGAAGAATTTTAAAAAAAATGACTTATGTTAGTTTAACAAGATGTATCATAAAAATAGAATAAAGCAGAGTATTATAAGAATTTAATTTAATAAAATACCAAGAATTTTAAAAGTTTTTCATATCTAATTTTTAAAATAAAATAACTATTTTGCTATAATTTACTTCAGTTTTATACAGAACTTCAAAATTTATATGTTATGTAATTCAAGAGTCAGTTTGAGTATTCATATTTGATTATGAATAAATTAGTAATTGTGAATTCAATATGTGATTTCTTATAGTGTATTGTTCAAGCTTTGTTTATTAAAAAGTATTAAAAATTTATTATATTCTTACAGTTCCTTACATAATTATAAAATTAGAAATTTATTAAAAATATATAGATAACATAATATATAGATATGCATAATTAAAAATATATTAAACTACCTTTCAAAAAAAATGCAGAATCGTATTGGTGTAATTTTATTAGAGAAAACAATTAAGAGTACCTAAAATGCATCTGTCTTCAATTGTGTTGGTATTCTTTATCATATTTCAAAAAATACTGCTCAGACTATTATTGGTTTATTTGTTTGAATTAAATAAAAAGGATTAAAAGAAAGCAAAATTTTTAATTCTAGTTATATATGACTGAGTCTTAAAGTCAAAATGCAGCTAAAATTTTAAAATGTACAGAATAAATTTTTAATTCAATATTATAGCTTGTTACTTATTTAACTTTTCTAAAAATTCTGTATTTTATTATTTTAATTTTCTTCGAAATTTATTTTCTTGTTGAAAAGAAAATTTCTGTTCGTTACTAACACCACTTGATGCTGTCAAAAAAGCTTCAATAATATTTTAGCTTGTGCATAATATTTATATTATAGTTTGTACATCCTAAAGAAAACATAAATAATATGTACTAAATTTTACTTTTTTCTTCAAATTTTGAAACATTTCAATATTTTTTTTATTGTTTGTTGTTTTTTCAATAAGGATTTTTTAGCACAGAATTAGATAAAGTCCAATTCTGTTAAAACGTTTGATGCTTAGTAAAAAATGCTTCATTTTTAAAATATATAAAATAAACTATCAGAAGTTCAACAGGGTTCCCACGGTCCTTGAAAGTCCTTCAATTTTTTTTTGCTAAATTTAGGTCCTTGAAAGTGCTTGAAAAACGTCTTAGGTCCTTGAAAAACTTGATAGGTCCTTGAATTTGTCCAATACTGCCGGCGACCCTTTTTATAAAACACCCGCGGATCTTTCTCGTTCTTTCTGTTTTGTTCCCGAGCTCTCTCACGTGGTTTTTAACGCCACCGTTTCTAACCGGGCCTAGCGTCTTGGTGTCTGCCAAGCGCGCGGAGCACAGCAGACAATCAATGCGTTCGGGGCGAGACTCCACTTCATCTTCTGTCGCATATGCTTAGATCTTCTTTTTTCTTATCGAAACTGGAATACTCTCGAATTTCGTAACAATATGTACCTTGTAGTTTTCAATAAATTTGCCGTTTTACCATCCGCACTTGTCCTTACGTTTGCGTCATTTCAAAACTTTATTGTAAAGCGTATTCGCAAAGGCACGGCTTCGTATTTGTGTTATGTAGTTTAGACTAGTTATGCCTGGGAAGTGCTATTTTAATCCCCAATGGATGGATAATCAAGCTTATAAAGAATGGATTTTATCGATGCCCGAAAAGAAGTTCAGAGCCAAGTGCCGATTATGCATGAAGGAGATCGATATCGCGAAAATGGAAGAATCTGCTCTGAAATCACACATGAAAGAAAGGTAAAACAAAAAAGCAGTCTCATGCCCTGAGTTCTCTTTTTCCAAAGACATCAACATCTAATTCATCTGGTGTAAATACTCCTTCAACATCGTGTGCCCCATGTGAAACAGAAACTTTAGTGGCCGAGGTAACATTGTCTTCTTATCTGGTCAAAAGGAATGTGCTTGATGCTGAAATTCTCTGGAGTCTGAAGTGCATCACTAGTAATTATTCATGTAACTCCTGTGAAGGGATTAGTAAATTGTTCTCCAAAATGTTTGCTGATAGCTGTATAGCGAGACAATTTTTTTGTAGTGCCACAAAGTGAGCCTATTTGGGCTCCTTTGGATTGGCACTATACTTCAAAGGGATTCTTATAAATGAGCTGAAGAATGTTGATTGCTACACTGTACTCTTTGATGAGACGTTAAATCAGTCTCTACAATCTAAGCAGATGGACATTATGGTAAGGAATTGATAATAAAGTTTGCACTAAGTATCTTACCTCCCAATTTATGGGTCATGGAACTGCAGAAAATATTTTGTCCTCTTTTTACAAATGCATGGATGATGGTTAAAAGCTCTCTAAAATACTTCAATTATCCATGGATGGACCCTATGTCAATTGGAAATTCTATTAGAAGCTTCAGTGTGAATTAAAAGAGAAATATTCCCACCAGGTCATATTCATTGGCAGTTGTGGATTACACATAACGAATAATGCTTTTAAACATGGTGAAAATGGGATATGTTCCTTCTAATTTTTATTTTCAGAAAGAATTGTTGCTGCATAACATTTAGAGAAGGTTGTGTAAATTATGGATGAATAATTTCAGAAACGATGTTTAATAGAGGAGAGGAGGGGGTTATGGAATAGTCATGGAATATGGAATACCTAAGATTTAGCTCTGTCTTTCATGCAGCCTTCACATGGAAATACACAGGATTAAAGGATTTCACCATTAACACCTCATTACCATTAGTTATAGATTGTGCTGAAAATGATTTTGTGAATTAATATGTAAAACCAGTAGGGTTGTTTTTAAAAAAATATAAATTTTAGTCCATAATACATATACTCTCTTCTCTCTATATAGGCAAAGCATTTAGGTATTATATTTGAAATTAATTATTGCCACAACAAGCATTGTTGCTTCTAGTAAAATAGAAGAGAATAATTTTTAAAATTGGTCTTAGATTAAGGTCCTTGAAAATTTTGTTGAGGTCCTTGAAAAGTCCTGGAAAGTCCTTGAATTTCAATCTCATCATAGAGTGGGAACCCTGTTCAAGGATCATGATAGAGAAAGAAATTTGCTAACTCTATCAAGAATATAAATAATTAAAAACCATTCCGTGCTTCATTTTATGAAATATTTCATAATTAAAGTTACTTTCATAATTTAAACTTGTAATAATTTTCATTCCATAATCTAATTTTTTTTTTCTCCAGGTTTGTTTGCAATTGTTCTGACACTGGCTTCACAGGTACATTTTGCGAAACAAATATCGATGATTGCGCAAACAATCCTTGCCAGAATGGTGCTACTTGTGAAGACAAAATTAAAGATTACGAATGCCACTGCTATGACGGATACAATGGCAAAAATTGTGATAACGACATCGATGATTGTTCATCATCTCCGTGCCTTAACAACGCTCTGTGCCTGGAAAATTCAAACAAGACTCTTTATGAAACCAACTATTTAGGCTTCTTTCCTACATTTTCATACGACATAGCTAGTGGATACCGATGCATGTGTTCATCTGGCTTTACAGGAGAGAACTGTGAAACCAACATTGATGATTGCATTGACAACAGTTGTAAAAATGGAATATGCATTGATAGCATCAATGATTATTATTGTGCTTGTCATTTAGGGTATGAAGGCCAGTTTTGCGAGAGAGAAATCAATGAGTGTGAAATGTTAACACCTTGTGAAAATAATGCCACGTGTGTAGATCTTGTTGCAGATTACAGTTGTTCGTGCTTGCCAAACTACGGTGGTAAAAACTGTCAGACAAAGTTGACGGGCTGCATCGGTGTGGTGTGCCAGAACGGTGCAACGTGTGTCCCACTACTAGATGTGGATAACCATCATAGGCATACTTGTGTATGTTCTGAAGGGTTTTATGGGTTGTCTTGCGAGATATCGACTACGGTATCGTTCAATACAGGCGACTCGTTGTCCGTCACAAATTACAATGATAGAGTCGACTCTTTTGAGCTCGAGTTTAGGTTCCGCACAACCCTGCCGAACGGCGTCATCAGCACTGGCTACGTATTGTCGAGCAACATGCTGCAATATCTGCTCTATCTCTGGAACGGCATGATAAAAGTCGACGTGTACGACAACACAGAAAGAATAGCTGAACTGTTTTCAAAGAATGGCCAAAATGATTCCACCTGGAAGACTGTAAGCCTGGAATTCTTGCCCGGACAGGTGTTTTTGAATGTCTCCGGCTGGGTCGCGCAGAAGTTGATAAACTTCCAGTCGCTGAACTTCACTGTGCAGTTCGGGGCATCCAACTTAGTTTCTAAAAATCACTTGGAGATTCCAGATTTCATTGGCTGCGTGCAGGACATACACATGAATGGGGATATCATAATACCCAACACCAACAGTCTGCTCCACGGTGCCGTCGTAGGATGTCCGAGGGAAGAGCAGTGTGAAGGTTCCCCCTGCCATAATGGATTCTGCAAAGACAATTGGTTGAGTTATGAGTGCATTTGTTCAAGACCATTCTTTGGAAGCACATGTCAATACAGTAAGTAAAGTCTACTTAATCACCCCTTTGTTATTTTCTAAGGAATATTATGTACTCTATTTATGTCGAAATAGAGCTGCACATTTGGCTTTTGGCAACGATCTGGGAAACATCCCTGAGGATGATCCAAAGACATGTCATCTCAATTTTTATCCTCTGCAGAGGGGGTGTCACCCCTGCTTTGGCAATCCGACGACCTGCGCAGGAAGTCGAGAAAGTGTTTTTGAAGCTTAGATAACCGATACTCTTATTAATTTTTACCACTATCGCGGCCCGTGCTTAGCTTTATGCATTAAATCATCCATAAATTGGACAAAAATATGAACTTGTCCTTAGTGATCCTTTTTCCTGTAAAAAAAGAGTATTTAAAAGAGCCCACAAAGTGTTGCAACTGCTTTGAATATCATGCAAATCTCTGTGCATTGAGCATGTACATTTCATCTGTTTTAAAAGATACAATTTTTAGTATTTAAAGAAACAAATAATAAATGTGTGCACATAAATAACAAATGTAAATAAATTGTTAAATTAAGGATTAATATATTTGATAAAAATCATATTTTATAACTTAATTATTATTGCTATAAATTGGGGCCTGAAGTTACTATAATTAATGTCTTATATTCAATTTATAATGTCTCTAATATCAGAAGAGCAGAAAAAATAGGAATTTAGCCCTTTATGCTACTGGTGTGTTAATAATTGATATTTTTATAAATTTATAAAATTTAACTTCTAATTAACGACGTCTCAAGCAATTTATTGATTATGGTGGAAAACGATGTGCAAATTATTTCTTAATGCAATGTTATTAAGCATTTTTAACTTTAAACATTCAATAATTCTAATTTATTTTTACAGACTTGGAATGTTTTATTTGATGCACCACTAATTGTTTTTATGTAGTTTATACAAACCCTAGCAACAATTTTACCTTGGGCTCAAAATAATTGTCCTGCACCGAGGGACCAGTTTTGGGCTGTTTTGATATTTTAATATTGACCCTAGAATGGCCTATGCTGGCTGAATAACGAACATAAAATATCGGGTAAATCTGACAGTTCTATATAGGGCTGATATTGATTGTAAAATATTATGCGAATCGGACAATTCTGTATAGGCTCAATCTTGGAAAATAATGGCCCTTTGAGCCCTTATTGGACCAAGATTAGAGAATATTGGTTCAATGGGGGCCCAAGTTATTTTGCGGCTAGGGAAATAACATTTTATTGATTAAAAAGCTGTCATAAGAAACTATTTAAAATGTATTGAATGCCTTATTGTTCTGGTAAGCTATATCTGCTGTTTTACCTGTGACTACTGTTTAGCTGCATATTCTCAAACTTATTTTCTCAGATAAAAGAATTTTATTGAGTTTGCTGCAGAAAATCAATCAAATTGTTTTCTAACTTAGAAGAGCAAAACTGAAGCAAAGTTTTGTTGCTTGTACATACTGTAATAGATAATAACTTTTTTTTGCCACTTATTTTTTAACAGAACTTTTCTAATCTGTTTGCATCATATTAATATTAGGTGTTATTACTAACTGTATCTTTGTAACTGTCAGCATTAATTTATTTCCATTTTCAGGTTATGAACCTGCTACTTTTGGTTACCTAAGTGAGAAGAGCAAGGCAGAATTGATCCTGACTGACCGGCAGGCATCCACAATGCAGAACGGTGTAGACATTTCGTTCTTTGCACGCACTAGAAATGATTTTGGTTTGCTTTTCTACCTTGGCACTATCATCAATGGTGTTAGCAATTGCAGTTTCAATGGTGTTCCCAACAATACTTTCGTCGTCGGAAGACTCGTCTCTGGTAAGATGCAAATACTGCTGAAGCAACAAAATGGCGACATCACCGAACTCACTAATGCTCAAAAACTGGATGACGGCAACAACTACTTTATCCAAGTAAGTTGATATTTAGCTTGAAATTTGCATATCGGTTTATAAAATGGTCATTGCTTGATTTCAATATTTTTGACCCCCATCTTTCCTATTATGTAAAGTATTGCACTTTACCCTACTTCACATGTTGCATAAAGGTTTATTTGCTGTTTAAAAACAAAACATTTTATAAATTATAATTCAAATATGATCTATGATCAGGGTTGCCACTCCATGGGGAAAACCTGGAAAATACAGGGAATTTAAAAATCACCTATAAAAACAGGGGTAATGCAGGAAATTTTGAGTTTTTCCTTACAAACTAGGAAAATACAGGGAATTTTATTTCTTATTTTCGTCTTTTAAAAGTAGATACGGAATATTTGAGGATGATATTTCAGCTTTACTAAACTATTTCATTTACTATAGCAGTGTTTCACAAACTTATAACTTTTGTGTATCCTTTCTAAATTTTTCGTAACGCTATGTACCACTGATAAAAAAATTAATGTATTTCTTACTATAAAAAAATTGCACAGAGGTTAAAAACCACAACTGGCTGTTGACACCACTAATATACATAGTTATTAACTGTTAACTCGACAAAAGATAGCCAATAGACAAATTTCGTAATCGTAAATTTTCATGGCTAGCTTTGTTTTTTAAAAAAAAAAGGTTTTTTTAATTTTCGTTTGTTGCAAGATATTTTGCATAAGAACGCGTACCCCCGCTGAACAAACACTGTACTATAGCATTATTTTATTTTAAGTATGTAAGCAGTTTCTTATTTAATTTTTCCCAACAATTAAAACTAGTATAGCTAGACTAATATAGGTCACTCAAAAACATAATGATTGTATGTTTCCTGTTAATGTGTGTAGGGAAAACACGGGGAATTTTTTCCAGATTTTAGTGAGAACCCTGATGACAGGCCACAGAATTTCAACTGGCCGGCTCATTATTGGCAGTTAAATATTTAAAGCTGGCAAGCAAGTTTCGTCTTTTAAATGTTGAATTAAACATGTTTAGATTATAGTGCTCTTATGAAGAACAAAGTATGGAACAAGAATGCTGAGTCACCTACTTTTTACTTCTAAAACCATTGCATTTTGAAATGGTGAAATCTTAAAGACCCCATTATTTTGATTTATTCTTATTCTTATTGCAAAATATATGTTTTGATTTTGCAATTACAACATTCTACTGCGCTTTTGATCCCCAAAACTTTTTTTATATTATTGTTCATTTTTCTACTACAAACTGCAGTTTATAAAATTTTTATAATTTCTTTCATGAATGTAAACAAGGTTGCCACTTCACAGGGAAAACCTGAAAAATACAAGGAATTTAAAAATCACCGTAAAATAACAGGGAATTTTGATTTTTTTTTTCTTTTCGAACTGGGAAAATACAATGAATTTTGTTTCTTATTTAAGTCTTTTAAAAAATGGTGACCACTCAAAGCATAATCTACAGGATATTTAAGCATGATATTTCAGTTATACTAAACTATTTCATTTACTTTAGCATTATTTAAGTATGTTCAGCTGTTCCTTTTTTTCTATTAAGTTTTTCAAGCAATTAAAACTAATAAATATAGTTAACCCAATATAGAGAGGAGGAGAGGGAAAGGTTAAGACATGCAACCCGTCTTCTCCCCAGATGGCGCATTGAAGCGTTGCAATCGTGAAAATTGTCTTCAAGTTTATAAATATTTCATTAATTGAAATGTTTTCTTATTTTTGCAGGTCACTTTGAATGACTCTGCATTAAGCTTAAAGTTAAATGAAACTATGGAGACAAAAAGTATCATGATGCCCAAAATGTGTATGGAAGCCCTCTATATTGGAGGTCTGCCTTTTTCATCACGCAGAAAGCGTTCTCCTCAACATTTCACCAGTGAAATAGATATCTTGTTGCTCGAAGATATACAGTTCTTTAAGGGTATCATTCAAGACTTTAGAGTAAGTACACTTAATTTTACATTTATTAGGTACAGTTTGTTGAAAGCCCAATTATGAAACTTGTGAAATATTTAATTGTGTAATTTGTAAGAACAAGTTGTCATTTCTGGTAGTAACTGCTTGTATGCTAAAACTGGCTTATTTGAAACAGTAACTAAATTTTTTTTCTTCCTCTTTTTCAAAAGTTTAAAGTGTACATTATCCTCTTCACTACTGAGGTAGAAAGGAACATGGCAAAAAATATTTCACAGTTTCGAATTTCTATTTTACTGCCATAAGGCAATAATGATTAACGAAAAATTAATGATACTGTCAGGGGGGTTAATAATTTTAAGTACGAAGACCTCAGGTTGTAACTAAATGAAGGAATATAAATATTTCAGATGTTAAATTGCACTTAAAGTGAAAATTTATATTCTTATTGTTAAATTATGGTCGACATAAATATAATTATAAATAGCTTTAATAATTATTTAGAAAAAAATTATAAATTTACAAGTTTTATTTAAGTACAATGCAATATTGCTCGAGCCGTGATGGCTCTGGGGGTAAACCGTACACCTTCCAATGAGGAGAACCGGGTTCAAATCCCAGTGATGGCTGGTTCCATATTACGAATTTCGCATCCGACTTGCGCCGACCCCAGCGCTGGAGTGAAATATTCTCGATGGTAGGCGGATCATGGGTTAGAATTCCCCCTCTACAAAGTAAAATTTCTCTCAATACTTGATCCAGGAGTTCCCTTGTATTCTGAATTGGGGTTCAAAATTACAAGGCTATGGCGTTGAACATTAGTAGTCATAAACCCAAAAGTTGGGTCGGCTGTTCAATAATGAATATAAAATAAAATAATTGCCCACAAAGACTAGCAACACCTCTGTATGCAACTTTTGTTGTAACTTATTTCACTTCATTTAAAAACTAAACTCAGCGGCGCGACAGCCCATAGAGGGCCAAGGCCTACTGTGCCTATCTCAGTTTTCTTGACCTTGGGCTCTGGGGTGCAGGAGCAGATGTTCCGGTCAGGTGGTCAGCCGAACGCGGAACCCCCAGTGTTTAGTTCCCAAGCATGCTTGGTACTCATTTATCGACCCACTGAAGGGATGAAAGGCTGAGTCAACCTTGCCCGGCCCGGGGATCGAACTAGGGACCTGTGGCACGACAGCGATGCCGCTCAGCCACCGGGTGTCATTTCACTTCATTTATTTATTTTTAATTGCAAAGAATACTTTTTTTTCATGAATTTTTCTTTTTTTAAAGGTGAACAATGAAGAAGTTGTTTTTTACGATCTGCAAGCTGAAGGGGATGGTTTTCCCGCTGTATTAGGGAAAGCTTTGTTGACAGAGTCTATTCAGATGGGAATGGTCAGCGATGACCCCTGCAATCACATAAGACCTTGTTTGCATGGTGCTGTCTGCCAAGATGCTTGGAATGAATATGTGTAAGTATATTCTTTTGACAAATATAACGTGTTTTTAAATAATATTTGAAGTTAAAAAGATGCGTCAAATTTGTTTTCTATTCAACTATTTCAACCTATTCAATCCATTAAAGGAGAAAAAATATTTGTTTTGTACAATAAAATATTAAAAGATAATTATGAAACTGTATAGTAATTTACTTCCGACAAAAATATTTGTTTCAATATTCATTGTATTTCCATATCAAAATTAGAATTTTTTTTAAAGCATTTCATTAAAGAAATACTGAACCAAGTAACAAATGTAAGTAAAAATTTATTTGAGGCCATTCACTAGTTTACATTTGTGATATGAATTTATTTAAGTTTTCTTATTTTGCTTAATTCTTTACTTGTCTTTGTAAATTCGGCATGATCAATAATAGTAATTTTGTTAATGTTTTATTGAATATGCTTTTATAAGTAACTTTTATTCAAATCTAAAAAATATACACTTGCTAACCTTTTTCTATAAGTTAAATTAATTATAATTTTGAATAATTTTTTTAACATAATTGTGTAAAGTAATTAGTAATTTGAAAAATCGAATGATCCATTCAGTATTGAATGTATTTAAAATTGTACATAAATTGTTTTTATGATAGCTAATGTAATTAAGAAAAGAATTCTTTGTCAGAAACTAGTTATTATATCGTGATCATCTAAATTTGAAAATTATTTTGCATTTTGTTAATGTATGTATGAAGGACTTTCAGCAATATGAAGGGAAAAAAATTATTAGTGCACATTATTATCCTATTTATAATATTTTTGTGCTTGAAAATATTTTTTAGTGCTTAAAAAGTATGTAAAAGGTGCTTTTTTTTGTTGAAAACTTTGGCAATGCACCCTGTTATCATGTGTATTAGATAGAGCTCTAGAATTGCATGATTATATTTTCAAGTTTTTTCAGAATTATATAGTCAACAGTTATCTTTTTACTCATTTCCAAATATATAAGTATTCCTAAAATAAAAAGCTTTAAGAATAAATGATTTTGAAGAGTCACGAAACGTTTTACATCTCTTTCTTTTGTGCTATTTAAGAGTGATCTTTAGATTCATTATGCAATTCAAGTATAGATTATATTGTGCTACCTGCATATGTATAACTATTTTATAGTGTTTGTTGAGTAACATTTAAATTATTCTAAATATTCAATTTTTAAGGTGTATATGCCCTGAAGATTATCGAGGGAAAAACTGTGAGGAAAGGAAACCATGTGCTGATAACACCTGCCCTGTGAATTCTTACTGTAGAAATCTTGATATAGGATATGAATGTAAGAAAATCTACATTTAAAAATAAACTTATTGAGTAGTGAGTAGTAATATATGATGTACATGACAACACATGATGCATAGTGTTTTTAACAAGTGCTTATTTTTGGTTTTTAAAAGCCCTTAAAAGTGTGTTTTTTATTGGATGTTTTTAAAAAGTGCTAAATTGTCTCTTTTTGAAAATGGATTTTTTTTCTGCATGTCGATCTATCGTCATGTATTACGCAAAAGCGTAGTTTTCACGTTGTTATATTCAACGTTTTCACAACTCATTCGAACACAATACATTTCAGCGTACCGTCGATCCGTAACATATGAAAGTGGCAATCAGTTTACATGTTTGATGAAATACTTGGGGGTCCGCATGCGCGTACACTGAGATGGGTTGGGTGAGATTCTTGCATTCTCACGTGCAGCAATTCTGCTGCATTTTGCAAGATATTCTCAATTTCAGGCATCATTTTTCACGCTCTGAAATTGAACCAAAAAATCTCTCAATCTTTTTATGGTGGCTAATTTAATCAAGAAAAGAGTTCTTTGTCAAAAACTAGATATTTTATCTAAAGTCTTGGAAAATTATTTTGTGTTTTATTAATGTGTATAGTGCTTATAAATATTTTTAGTGCTTAAAAAGTACTTAAAGGTTGTTTATTTTTTGTTGTAACAGTTGGCTATGCACCCTCCAACAAAATGCAACACAACTTTACGAATTTTCTCTAGAAACTTGTCAAAAATTACCTAGTCAAATAATTTGCACATTATTGGTCGTAAAGGCAGAGAGACAAAATATTGTTTAAGAACAATTTGTAAGCAGCATTTGTTTATAAAAGCAATATTTAGTTAAGGGAGGAGAATCAGTATTTAAGCAGGAAAAAATAAAAACTCTATCGATTTTCTAACAAATCACTAACAAGGGAGGCAGGTCCTGATCCCCCACACTTAAAAGAAAACTATTTTTCAGTATGGAATATTTATATATGCTCAGAAATGTTCTAAAAATAAATATTTGTGCCTCCTTTCCCAAATAGTGTCACCCAGCTATGTGCCTGTGAAATCATCAATCTGTTTGTTTGCCGAGGATGCATAATTAAATGACAAGTGAAATACTGACTTGTGAAACCAGGGTTCCCACGAGTCAGGGAGAACGGGGAAAACCTGGAATCGTCAGGGAATTTTATTTTAACTCCAAAAATCAAGGAAAGTTCCAATTTTTTTTTTTTACAAAACCCTGGAATATTCCTATATAATACCTGGAAACTAACTAATCTTAATATCTGTTACAATTATTTGTTATGAAAATGTCACATTTTAGTCAAACTGAAATGTTCTCTTCCTCGTTTAATAATATTTTTTTACACAGAAAATCTAATATTATCAATATTGAATGTTTGAAATCTTTTTTACCACTTTAAACAGGGAGTTAAATCTGTTTTCATTGAAACTAATGCCTTTCATTTTGTTCTTTAGGTGTTGCCAGTGCTGCATTTGATGGAAAACGAAATGGAATTTACTACCAAATTGACCATGTCAACAGCAGCATTACCAATATGAGCTTTTCTTTCCGATCAAACACCAACGGCACAATATTGTGGCTGGAAAGTCACTCGAACACAGAATCCAATCATTTTCTTCACATTGAAATCGTCTCCAATACATTGCAGGTGAAGTGGGACCTGGGACCCTCTTACGAAAATCACGCATTGCACAAGACTGTCAGCCAAAAGATCGAAGCTGGAAGACAAGGCGAGTGGCAAGACGTGAAACTGTGGTTCGAGGGCAACATGGTACACCTGGAAGTGTCCGGTACTGAAAATCTCTCCGAAGACAATTACTCGGTTGGACTGAGCGAGCTTTTGAACAGCGGAGCGAATGTTTATTTGGGATACAAACCTGGTTCAGAACTGCTGTTTAAGGGTTGCCTCGACGATGTCCGCATGGGTGGCACATTGCTCCCGTTCTTCGATCAATCTCAGTTTTCGAGCACCAGAAACCCGTTTCAGATAGTGCAGAAGGAGCTCGAAATCGGGTGCAAGTTGTGCTGGAATGACGATTGCCTGCACGGTACTTGTAAGAATGAAACAGATTCTTATGCTTGTAGTTGCTACGAAGGATATGAGGGTGAATTATGTGAAGTGGATATGTGCATATCTAAAAACCCATGCCAGAACCAGGGAACATGTAAGCATAGCTCCCCGAGTGGAATGATAATGTGTTCTTGCCCGCAGGAGTTTACGGGGCAATGGTGAGTACCTAAGGAATTTCGTCTAATATATTTTTTAAACAAATTTATAAACTATTTGTAATATATAAATATTCTCTCTTTCGAATTGAGGATGACTGTTGAGTTGCTTCGAGAATTTTACTAATTTTTTGGAACTTCAATAAGTTGATATAAAACTTTTTAAATCCCTTAAAAATGTCATTTTGCATTTTTTTCTGGTTTTCAATTTTTAGAATTTCTAAAATAATTAATTTTATTTTGCTGTAAATGCCAAGAGTCCAAAAGATTTTTCCTCTTCATTTGTGTTAACAAAGGCATTGATTAACTGAGTAATTATAATGCATAATAAATGAAAGTACAATACAGCATAACCTCGAAAATACAGACTACTTGGGGGATTTGAAAGTCAGGGGTTTAAAAAAAATATATAGATTTCAGTCATTTTACCCAACCTGCATTTGCGTTAGATGGAGAGTAAAACCTCCTACTGTTAGTCTGACGATAAAAGGGCTCAAACTCGTCATCCGTCTACCATTGAGAATATTTCATGTCAGCACTGTGGTCGGTGCAAGGCGGATGCAGAATTCGTATCGACCACCATCCATTGTTGGGATTCGAACCCAGTTCACCTCATGGGAATGTGAGCGCTCTATTCCCTGAGCCATCGCGGCTCTATAGCATTATTTCAGTATGTTCATCTGTTCCTTCCCCACAAAGTTTTTCCAGCAATTAAAGCTAGTACAGTTAGCCCAATATAGCTTAGACAAGATCACTGTCACAGTGATTGTGTGTTTCCTCTTAATATATCGTGTATAATAAATATGTACAGGAAAACACAGGAAATTTTTTCCCCTAGATTTGATGGTCAGTCCTGTAAATAAACAATATTCTTTGCATTCCTATAGTTTTGATGGAGCGGAAAATGTAATTTTGTTTAAAAGATGCTAAGATTTGAAATATTTGATTTTTAGGTGTACTGAAATCAACCACTGTAATAGTCAACCTTGCCAGAATGGTGGAGAATGCGTACCGGGAGATGATTCGTTCGTTTGCAGATGTCCCTCCTCCTACAAAGGAGATCTCTGCGAATCACCTGTAAGTAATTCAACATGTTTTATCTCATACGTTGTGGTTGTAGTACATGAAACCTATATATAGTTTGTCTATGGAAAGAACTCCCCTCACCACGAAGTCTAAGGCAGTCTGCTGCTATAGAAACAAGAAATAGCGCACCTCAAAGAAAAGAGCTTCTTTCTTCCTCAATTCCCTTTCCCTAGCTGACCCGAGACAAATACCCTGAAAATAACAAAGTGAGATTTCGCCTTATATTTCACGCTCCCATAAAATTTCCGGGCTGGAGTGTTCAGTAGTAATGCGCCAATAAGAATAAAATTAATTCATTTCTTTTGCCCGGAAAACATTTTTTTTCTCATTTTACGCACCAGATGGCAGTACCAGGATATTTTTAAGGTAATTGCAGATAGTTAGTTTATTTTAAACTAGATGTCAGTCAGCACTAGTTTAGGAATTGTCCTAGGAATTTGTCCCTAGGAATAAAAGAAGTGCAGGGTGCTTCCTCACAGAAAATGACACTTTGAGTTTTAAAAGGGCACTCACTTAATACTGAGAAAATTAATCAAAATGTGTAATATCATGTAACAACTAAATTAGATGCTCAACAATTTTTAAGTTACCATCTTAAACTGTTTCATGTGCATATTTCAAGAAGTAAATTTTCCTCTTTTTCTAAATAAGAGAAAAATTTGTATTTTCATTTACCATTTTTACTCTAACAATTATTCTCATTTTATAAGCATAGTAACACCACCAAAGTAATTTGATTTCGCCAAAATAGTATAGATGAAATAGTTGGAAAATTCCTTAAGAAAATTCTTTTGTTTCCATTTCCTTTCTTCAAGAAGTCAGTTTAAAAGGTTTGCTTACCACGCACGAATTCAAGAAGATATTGCCTTAAATAACTTTAGTTCTAATAATTCGATCTTCATTAACTAAGTGCCACTCTTAATGGCTCAATAGGTTGACTTCAAATTAATTAAAGCTAACTTGGACTGGGCGATGCATTGCAAAATATTGATGTTATGTAATCATTGCCGATCTGCTGTTTAGATCGATTTTTTGAAGCATTGAAAATTAGGATTTAAGGAGATGTGTGCGAATATAAATGATCTCAATGTGCATTTTAATTTTGAGTTTTATATTCAGAATTACTTATTTAATGGCGTGGGCACACAGCGACAAACTAATTTTTGCACAAGCCCCTCCCTTTTTGCAATCACTTTTTTTTTCTTTTTTTTTTTAATGTATCATATCCCTGTCATGATTTATTCATTTTTTTTTCTTTTTTGAAAAAAATTTCAATTGTTGATAACTAGACGTATTTATTGCATTTTTTGTAAGGTAACTGAGGATTGAGCCCATTACAATAATTTCCGCAATTTATCAATCAAACAGTGCAAAAATTCAAAATTACTCAATTTCAAAAGTAAAATATTAATGTAATAAACATCACGATGTATCGAAATATCGCGATGTCAGAGTGGCGATACATCTTGCTGCTAAAATCTTAACATTGTATCAAGAACTACTGTTTAACATAACCCTGCATTGACTAAGGTATCTTAGTTAACTAAATGACTATGTATAATTATATTTGTATTTGAAATGAGCAAAAAATGTATTTCACTCATGTCGATTAAAAAATAATTCATATGAATAGATATTTTAATTATTTAACTAGTAATGCGACTTTTTTATCCATAGGTTATTCTGGATTGTACAACTGTCAATTGTTCCCATGGTTCTTGTATCAACATTGATCTTGGAGAAACTATTAAAGTTAGTAATTTTAATTAATTACAATTAAACAACATAAAAACTTGGCTATTTTTTTATACAGCAGTGTGCACAGCTGTTAGAATTTTTTTTTTTTTTTTAAATTAAAGCAAAGCTACTTTTAAAAGTAAAAGTGGTGACAATATTACATCATAGTTTGTTTATTTGCTGCGAGAAATTTTACAACTATGACTGAGCATTTATCACAGAAAGTGTCAATTTAATAGTCTAATTTACACATTTTAAAAAAAATTTATAGGAGAAAGATAATGGTGCATTTCAACTTAAAATTGGATGTTAATACAAGTAAACAACAGGGGTAAGGTGAAGAAAGTCATGTACCCCCTCCCTAGGGGGGTCACTTTTTAAGCTGTTACAGATCTGATGCTTTGCGTTACGGATCTGATGTTGATACATCAGTATTCATTAGAAGTGATATTAAAACTTTTTTATATGTATAAAATGACTTTTATATGTAAAATATTTTTTAAAAAATCAAATTGAATTTTAAAAAATACATTTCTTAAAAAAAAGAAGAAAAAGATTGAGTCATAAAAAAAAACATGATTGTAAAAACAAAGCAAAATAAACACATTTACTTTATTNAAAAATGGCGAATATCTCGGCATCCATCTTGCGTACCTTGTTCCGATCACGTGGTATCTCTGCCGGAAGTAAAGTTTTGAGTCAGAAAATAGCTTTGATATGTTCGTGTTACCGATCTGACAGAGAAACTTGGGACGCACCTGTTTTGCGTCTGTTCGCCAATTACGAGAAGATATTTATAAAAATCGAATAAAATATAAACAGAGCGTTAAAAATGAAATACGTTTTAGTATAACAGTGTTTCAAAACGATATTATAAAATGCACATGATTTGTTTGCATGTTTAAAATCCTTAGGTGGGACATGTTACCGATCTGATATTTGAAACTTTAAAATTTTTTTCTTGTGAGTAAAAAATGATTAAATTAAATGTTTTTTGATGAATTAAGTGCAAAATCATGACTATTTTTTGGAAAAAAATGTTTAGGGGTTTTATTTATCAAAAAAGTAGTGAAATTTAATTTTGGACATAAATTGACACTTTTCATGAGAAATGCTCGACTGCCATTTTCAATAAAAACTTATCTAATATGCTTATTGTTGGAAAAATTAATAGGTAATACTAGTGACTAAAAATAATTTTTCAAACAATAGTTACTATGTTTTATTTCAGAATCCATATCCTAATTTATTAGTGCAAAACTCTGATCTTCGATAATAATAGTTTTTATATTTTGTACCTTATAATAAAAACATCTTAGAAATTTTTAATGCATGTTTATTTTTGCTGTATAATTATTGCTGTATGGATTAGATTTTAAAAAAAAAGCTAATGTTTTTATCTTTATTTTATTCATATATGTTTACTTTGCAATGATTTTTTTTTTTTTTTTACTGAAAACTAAACTGTTTTATTATGAACTTAATATGTAATTTAAGGAATTTCATTTTATGATAAATATAGCATCTATTAAAAACAAAACTATATTAGTGCACTTTATTATAATAGAGACATGATTTGATGAAGTATTAATATCATATTATCAGTTTTTGTCATCAGGTCTTTTGAGTCTATAAGATTTTTTGTTCAATTTTAAATAGAATAATTGTTGATATATAACTCACATTTATTACAGTTCAAATGCTTATGTTACGATGGATATGAAGGTATGTATTGCAATGAGACAAAAGACTTCTGCCTCAGCACTCCTTGTGAGAATGGTGGAGTGTGTACCATCATCGCAGAGCAGGAATATGCCACCTACAGGTGTACTTGCCCGAGTGGCTTTACGGGTGATCACTGTGAGCTGGATATTGACGAGTGTGAGACTGATCCATGTAAGAATGGAACATGTATTAATCAAAAAGGAAGTTATAAGTGTGATTGTTATCCAGGTACGCTATGTTTTTGCTTACTTTTCAATTTTCATAACACAAATATTCTAAAGATATGTTTCATAAGGTTAATATAACAGGGTTGCCCCTCCACAGGGAAAACCTGGAAAATACAGAGAATTTGAATGTCACCAAAAATAGTAGAATTTTGATTTTTTTTCTTTCTTTACAAACTGGGAAGATTCACAGAATTTTGTTTCTCATTTTAGTCTTCTTTTTTTATATATATATAACTGTTGTTGAACAGCCAACCCAATTCTGGATTTACGACTACCTAAGTTCAACTCTGTATCCTTGTAAATTTGATCCCAATCCAAAAGACAAGAGAGCTCCTGGATCAGTACTCCCAGAGGTATTGATTTGTTATGGGAACTTGAAGGACCTTTTTTTCCCGACAGATGTAATGTGCATCAGTCACCATTTACTACACGGGGAATCTTCGGCCGGTGGGGATCGAACCCATAACCTCTTGCACATAGGCCATTTTAGTCTTTTTAAAAAAAGGGAGTTACCACTCAAAGCGTAATCTATGCAATATTTAAGGGTGCCGGGATAGCCTGGTCGGTAGAGCACTGGGCCCATATCCAAGAGGTCGTGGATTCGATCCTCGCCGGCCGAAGACTCCCCGTGTAGTAAATGGTGACTGATGCACGTTAAATCTGTCGAGTCTCAAAGTCCTCCATGTTCCCATAACAAATCAAAACCTCTGGGGGTACCGATCCAGGAGTTTCCTTGTCTTCTGGATTGGTTCAAAATTACAAGGCTATGGCGTTGAACATTAGTAGTCGTAAACCCATAACATTGGGTCGGCTGTTCAACGACGGTTATAAAATAAAATAAAATATTTAAGGGTGATATTTCAGTTATACTAAACTATTTCACATACTATAGCATTATTTTTTATGTTCAGCTGTTCCTTTTTTCCTCTAAATTTTTCCAGCAGTTAAAACTAGTATAGATAGCCCAACATAGCTCGCACAAGAGCACGATAATTGTTGTTTCCTCTTATTATATTATGTATTATAAGTATATACAGGGAATTTTTTTTCCAGATTTGAGTGCCAACTCTGTAAAATCAGTATGCTTTTCCATAATTTCAGAGCTTTATTTATTAGTTAACTGTTGTCAAATTTTATAAGTCTTTTTAACTGACTTAGTTTTTAAAAAAAATTATTTTTCTCATAAATTGAAACTGATTTTCTCCATTATTCCTCAGGGTATTATGGCTTGTCAACTTGCCATAAAATCAGACGCTGCACTGACGCTGAAGATGTGTGCTACAACGGAAATTGTACGAGCGTGCCAGGTGGGTATGAGTGCAGCTGTGATGATAAGTACCTGGGGAGCCACTGTAGCATCTTCAACGAGTGCCACCCATCCAAGTGCAACCATCGTGGAATGTGCAATCCAATGATTGATGAACATGAACTCTTGTTTCTACATTCATGCGCCTGTGAAGATGGTTTCAGTGGTAGTGATTGTACGAAAGAGGTTGGTATCTTATCTTTTATTCAATTTTAATTTCATTGTAATGAAACAATCTTCTCATGGTTAATTATCATGAGATTTTGGCCACAATAATTTGAAATCTCTGAAAGAAATTTTTTTTCTGATACAGTAAAACCCTGCTACAACAATATTTTAGGTTTATATTATGTATTAACTATAATTATATTTATATATTATATGATAAATTAATTTGCAGGGTGTTATAGTTAAATATTAAAAGCAATAGAAATAAATTCAGAAAATAAGATCGTAAACATACCTGAAAACCGTTTTTATTGAAAATAATCTGATATTTTTGTTTGTTTATTCATTTTTTTGACTGTCATACTTGACTCTGCTAATTGTTAATTTTCTTGTTAAATAATTTGGATTATGAAAATTTAATAGGTGAAGGAAGAAAAAAAAATTCTGTATGAAATTTGGCAAATTATTCTGTGTATTTTAATTTTGTACTATTTCCCCTCTCCCCAAAAAATATTTTGCATGCCTGTGACTAGTTTTTCTGTTATATATTTAGTACTTAAAATGAAATTTTTAAAAATGCATTTAAATAAACCTGGAATATTGCATGTCTCAATATTTCTAGATAATTTATCCCCAGTATTGGTGCTTGTTAAATTGTTGAATCATAAATTGCTGCTCGGGTTGCCAGGTTATGAAAGCATGATACCCACCTCCCTCTCTTATTATTGATCTGTTGTAGCATTTTTAACAGTCTTGGCTTACTGTTTAAATCACTTCATGAACTATTTTTAAAGGATTAAAAAACTGTTAATAATTATAATATAATGTAAGACTATTCTCAAAATATGGTAAACATAACAAGGCTCAGAAACAATCGTGAAATAAATTATTTTTCTGAAAATTATGAAATTTATTTATGGGATGCCATGAATAGGCATTACATACTTCCTAGGTTTTAAAATTTCTTTAATTTCTTAATCTTATTTTTTTTTAAATCATTCGTAATCAGATTTTAATTAAATTAAAACAATTATTTAATTTTTATTACATTTTATAAAAAGTGAATAAAAAATATTTTATTCTTTTCTTAACAATCAATGTAACTACTAAATTTTGATTTCCGTTAAAATGAAAAATTCATTAATGTACTGTCGCGATTAAATCGAAAACAAAAATCTATTTATAACTATTCATTTCTTACCACATAAATGTTTCAGTTACATGGTTATACGAATTCTCCCAGTCTTTTTGGCAATTGGCTTTCTCCAAATTATTTTCAAATTTAATGTTGATTATTGGGGTAGGCTTTGTCTTTGGCTATGTTATTTTGTGATAAATCGCCAACCATGGATCTTTTCCCATGCTCCTATCTATCCATTGGGAACAATTCATTTACTTCTAATTTCGTATTCTTCAGTAATGGAATTGGAGGCCTTCGGCCTCTCAGTCCCATTCATCCCTCAATTTTATTTTATAATTTTGAAATGTGAATATGTTCATTTTAATATTTACAGGATAAATCAATTTTTCCTCAACGATTTTATATTTTTGTTTCTGGAATATAAATATCTTTTCATCATATCCAAATTAAAATGTATCTGAAATGGCCAGAATATGCTTAAATTCTACAAAGGATCCCACTAACCACTAAATTGGACAGGGTTGCCACTACACAGGGAAAACCTGTAAAATACAGGGAATTTAAAAATCACCTAAAATAACAGGGAAAATGCAGGAGTTTTGAGATTTTCTTTAGAAACTGGGAAATTATAGGGAATTTTGTTTCTAATTTTCGTCTTTTAAAAATTGTGCAAAAGTGCTGCTAGTCAAAGTGCATTCGATGGGATATTTAAGGATGATTTTTCAACCATATTAAACTATTTTATTTATTATAGCATTATTTGTCTTATGTTGAGCTGTTTCTTATTTCTCCAAGTTAGCACAATACAGCTCATATAAGAACACAATTATTGCTCTTTTCTTCTATATTGTGAATAATATGTACTAGGAATTTTTTTCCCCTAATTTTAGTGACAACCCTGTTGGACTAAATTGCCACGAATTTATAATAATTCCATATTTATTAAAAAATAATAATAAAATGCTCATGGGGTTCGCGAAAAAAGTTGCGAACTGGCATGCAATTCTTTTATCATATTTAGTCATTGACAACCATTGATTTTTGCCTTTTACTGAATGGTAAAATGAAAATAATTTATTGTTTTATCAAAATATTATTCTAATATTTTGTCTTCCTTTTGCAGTTGAACAAGAGTGGAGATGATACCAACCTAATTGTTTTTATCCTTATTCCGGTGCTGTCTTTATTCATCCTCTGCATCTTAATAATTGCCATTGTGTTCCTACGAATGGCCAAGAAGAAGAGGGCCACTCGGGGAACCTACAGTCCTAGTCGCCAAGAAATGTTTGGCTCCAGAGTTGAAATGAATCATGTCATGAAGCCTCCGCCCGAAGAAAGGCTCATTTAATTTATAACAAAATTATTCAATTTTTTGAAAACTTTTATTTTATTGAAACTGAACAAATTTCCAAACTTTGGAGAGAGAGAAAGAAAATTCCCATATTTAAGACCAGTGCAAAAAAAACGGAACTATGATTAAGGGTAATTTTAAAATTCTGCTCCTAAAGGAAAATTCTATGGAAAAAGGTCATGAAATTTCAAAAGAGTGGACTTTGTAATCTCTTTGAAACTAAACTGTGTTTGTCTTTGACTAATTCTCTTCAAGATGCTTCTAGTTCATTACTTTTGAAAAAGATTTTAAATTAATATATAATTCTTGTTTGAATTTAAAAAATTTGAAAGAAATAAAACAAAAGTGCTAATAAAATGTGAACTGTGTTGCACACTTGCAATATAAAGAATTTATTAGAAATTTTAAGTATTTTGCATATATTTTTATACTTATTTGAATGGAAAAAATTTAAATAGTTTGATGAAAGCATTTGCATAGCTGTCAACTTTACTGGATTTCGCCAGTTTCTCCTGGTCTACTGGTTTAATAAAAATTCTGATTTTTGCATCTTTTAAAAAATTCCCTATAACTGAGTAAATTTCTTTAAAAAATCCCTATTGAAATAGAAGTTTTACACAATTTATTTGCTTGCTTGAATATTTAAATAAATATTACTAATGCAAAATGAAGCAGGCCTCATTTATAATAGTTTAAAGCTTTTTTTTTTTTGTTCTAAAATTTCAGTTTATTTTTGATCAGAATTCTCTTATTAAACTAATTTAAAAAAATCTTTCAATTATCAATAATAAATTACCTTGTTTTCTAGTACTCAAAATTACGAGCTAACATAATGAAAAGCATTTAAAATGAAAATACATATAATGTTAATCATAAATGGAAAATATTGCTGACCATTTATAGTGTTAACTGTAATAAAATTTTTGTGCCTTGATTACAATAAAAATCCCTAAAATTCCCTATGTGTAAAATATTTAGTATATTATGCAACAGTTATCAGGAAATTTATATTTCTTAAAATCTACTGGATTTTTTTCCTATCCATGTTGGCAGCTGTCCATTTGTTAGATTCCGAAAAACAGAAGAAAATCCTGTTTGTGCCTTTCTCTTACAAACTGTGACCAGTTAAGAAGCTTTTAGATTATATTTCTTGTTTTTGGATGATTACATTATTTCTGTAAATATAGTTCTTATGCATGTGACTACCAAAATAATTTCATTTTTGTGTTGTTCTCATTTAAAAATGTCATATGAATACTCATTTGTAAATAATTTAGATGTATGTTTGTATTTATTGTGCTGCAAAACAGGTGTTGTTGCTAACAAACATGTTTTTTTGTTTGTTTTTTTTTTAAGTTAGGTCTCTTTCTAATGAAATTGAGTGCAACTTTTAATGTCCCAAATGTTATTGTAGAGAATGAGTGTTTTTTTTTTTTTTGTGTGAATTTATTTTGTACAGCTTATTTATTGCACTCAAAACTGCATGCGAATGAATGTAATTACAATTTTATGTATATTTGTACATCTCATTATAGAATTTGGATTTTTCGTGCATTCCAAAAATTATAATTAAAATACATTTTATTTCATCTTTTTTTTTTTTTAAATGAAATCTGTTTTTATAGATGTATTAAAGACCATTAGGACAAAAATTGTAGAACATACTTAGTTATTTACCAAATATACCTAAGTTCTCCGTAATAATCCTCAAAAAATTTCTGACTAAAAAAGTAATAAAGATTTAATAATATTTTTTAAAAATATACTGAAACTGTTTAACGAGTTTATGCAGGGTTGCCACTCCACGGGGCAAACCTAGAAAATACAGAGAATTTAAAAATCACCTAAAGTAACTGAAAAAATACAGGGAATTTTTAGTTTTTCTTTACAAACTGGGAAAATACAGGGAATTTTGTTTCTTATTTTTCTGTTTTAAAAAATGGTGACCACTATGGCATATTTAAAGATGATATTTCAGCTATACTAAACTATTTAATTTACTCTAACATTATTTGTTTTAAATATGTTCACCCGTGTACCTTTTTTCTCTAAGTTTCTCCTGTAATTAAATTTAGTATAGTTAGTACAATATAGCTCACGCAAAGTGCAGTGATAGTGTGTTTCCTCTTAATATATTGTGTATAATATCTACAGGGAATTTTTTTTCCAGGTTAAAGTGGCAACCCTGTGCAAGTTTTCTATATTTAATACTTCTATTGCTAAAACTTTATTAAGATAAAAATTAAGCTAATTTCATAATCTGTCTTTTTCATTAGATATTTATAAATTTAATAAATTAAAAATAAAAAATTGAATGACTTTTTATCTTTATTGTAAAAGTTTTTAGCCATATATATCAACATCTATAGCCGCATAAATTGCTTTTATTTTTAATATTTTAAATACTCCAGGGTGCGTAGCGGTTTTAAAAAGTGCTTATTTTTGATTTACGGTTTTTAAAAGCCCTTAAAGGTGCTTTTTTTCGCGGTTTGTAAAAAGTGCTTAATTTTTTATCTTTAAAAAATAAAAATGATTTTTTTTTCTTTGCCATGTCGATTGCTGATCTCAATTTCAAAAAATTCATGATTTTCTCTGCAGTATTTATCAGAAACTATATATTTTATCATTATTTATATAAAGTTCTTGAAAATGTTTTTGAATTTTATAAATTTTATGTTTATAAATTAAGAACTTTAAAAGATAGAAAAAAAAATAATTTTTATTAGTGCACAGATCCTAATTATGATATATTTTTTTTTTTTTTTTTGAAAAGTGAGTAAAAATATTTTTAAAATGCTTAAAAAGTACTTAAAAGGTGCTTATTTTTTGTTGAAAAATCTGGTTACGCACCCAGTACTCTTATGCTTTGCTATAAGGAAAAAAGTTTTTAAGTGATTATCCATTCAATCTGTGACCATGCTTTATATTTTTATAAAGATTTTTTTAATATTTGTAATCTAAATTTTGTTATGAGATAAATATTTTTAAAAAATTATTTATTCCATGCATTGTTATGCCAGCTGCCTATAATATAGCTTTTCATAATGATTCTTGTTTTTTTATAAAATAAATTTTGAAAACAAAAATTTTTTTCTGTGTTAGACATTTTGATTTTGCTGGGAAAAAAACTAGTTATAATAATAAATAATAATTTCTTAAAAAATACTAGTTGAAAATTTGTTCATATTACAAAAAGTGTTTCATGTTAAGGATTTATTCTATCCGTAAACATTCAGCTTGCCTATATTTTGTATATTTGTAATTCTCCATATTTTTACATGGTGAAGAAGAAATGCATAAATTAACATCACTGTTGTATATCTTGTTGTATAGCTGTTTATAAAAAAAAAAATATGAATGCTTTTGTATATATTTGAAATTTTTAAAATTTTACCCATGTTAATATTTAAATAATTAAGTGAACAGAACTTACCGTCCATTTTAAGCATTTTTTAATATCAAATTTAATATCTATTTCAAAAAAAAAAAACTTTTTTTTTTTGTATGTTACTGATATATACCTAACAAATTTGCCTGCTTTAAGATTGTTATAGATATTTAAAATGTAATATTTTCAAAAGATTTGTAATCCTATTGTTATCAGTATCTGAACTCAGTTCTTTCATTTTAATTCATAAAGTGTAATATGTGATATAAAAAAAAAGAAGTCCGTCCTATTTGCATTCCATGTTTTGTAATGTATTATTTCAATCTACACTGTAATTAGCTAATGGGAAATAAAATAATTTTTTATAAGAAGATTTCTTACTTTCTTAATATTAAATATTTATTAGCAGTTCTCTTAGTAATTGTTTGCATTGTTTCTAGTGATTGTGGGCTTACGGGCATAAACCGCCCATTGGAAGAAATGTTAGAAAAAGCAAACCTAACTACAAAAGAAGATTAAATCAGTGAAGGAAAATAGCAAGGAATCGGACATGCATTGAGAATGTCGAAAAATTAACACATGTTCCTCTTTTTTCTTTTTTTTTGGCCCTGGGAGAAAGAGATGAAGGCAAGAATAACTTGACGTAGACTAATGCAGGCAGATTTTAGGACCGAAAATTTTAAAGGATTAGTGGAGACAGGGAGCACCAGGATAAAAAGACAAAGGCAAGAATAACTTGGCATAGACTAATGCAAATAGATTTTAAGATAATTTTTTTTAAAGGATTGATAACGAGGAGCGCCAGGAGAAAAAGATGAAGGCAAGAATAACTTGACATAGACTAATGCAAGCAGAATTTAGGATAGACAATTTTGAAGGATTGGTAGCAAGGAGCCCCAGAATAAAAAAAAAGACAAAGGCAAGAATAGCTTGGCGTAGACTAATGTAGGCACATTTTAAGTTACAAAAATTTAAGGAATTGGTGGAAGCGAGATCTCAAGAGAGTGGGGGCCTAGAGACCAAGAGGGTGGGGGAGGCATGAAGAAGTAGGCTGGATGCCTAAGTAAGTGAGCATAATCCTTTATTTAAAAAAAACAACCTGTCAAGTCCTTCTATACAGTGTAGGGTAGCCAATTCTGTTCATCCAAATGGAAGCAAACAAAACATGTGTGAAAAGGTAAACATCTTCTATGACACAGATTTTAACTTCTCATAAATAACTATAGAGTTATAGCGTCTTAATTTTAATTTAATAAAGTAAGCAAAAAAATATATTGTAGTTTTTTTTTTATTCGTTATAAAAAATTTAGAAATAAAACTTTACTAAAATTTTTAAGCAAAATTCTGCCCTAATCAAGTGAAGAAATATACAGTCGGACCCCGATTTAACGAATTCATCGGGACCGGAAATTTTATTCGTAAAATCGGTGTTCAAAAAAAATTGTTTTTTTGTACATATGTATTATTAAAAATTACTAGTTATAAACGACTATCAAAGATTAGAAAGGAATTTCCTGTTTGACTCATAGCCCACGTGACAAACCCCCGGAAAATGACCTTGCAAGTGTAATATGTCTTATTAACTCTGCCCACCTCCCCAAGACGAATTTTGTTTTTCCCTGTTGCGGTCGTGTCTTTTGTTTGAGACGAATATGCACTTTTTCTATTTTATTCCTCCCAGGAAAGATTTTTTTCCCCTTAGAATCTGCCAATCACAAAAAAATGCAATATTTTTCTGATCAAAATTAATGAAAAATATTTTTCCGGATGCTGAAATAATTCGTTAATTAGGGGTTTTTGACTCTGTTTTTGCTGGGGTTGAAAAAAAATTCGTTACATCGCGAAATTCGTTAAATAGGGGTCCAACTGTATCAATTTCCTTCTCAGGACAGTCGCCAATAGCCCATTGTACAGCTCTAGTTCGACGTAAATAAAGCACCTACCTACCTAATTTCAAAAAAAGAATTTTTTTTTTTTAAATATTTTGCTCTGTTTTGAGGGGTTGACCTCAAATATGCTAATTATTTGTTGCAGACGTTATTTTAAGTTTCGAAATCAGATACAAAAACGTACTTTCTCTGAATAAACATACCTTTTTCTCTGTGGATTCGGATTTTTGACCTCCGAAAAATGGTTCTCATAGTTTGGCATGGAGAGCCATCCAATTGACCTCCTAATGTTAATATTATTTTTTCCGTATTTCGCCGTATCTCGGGAACTTCTTAAGTGAATTGAAAAATCTTTGCACACAATTATAAAATTCGTTTATCCAAAGATAAATCTCTGAAAAAAATAAATTTTAAGTAAATATTTAAATTTTTTATTTAGCAATAGTCGATAAAGTTTTGAGGTGCATAATTTTTTACATCATTTTAAAGTAGGTATCTTAATTTTACATGACAAAATTTCAGCAAAATCGGTCTAACAGTTCCTGAAAATTGAATTTCAAAAAAGTCATATATTTAAAATTTTATTTCTCAGGAATTATTCAACTGATTTCGCTCAAATATGTGTATATGTTATAAAAGCCTTAAGCGAACTATGATGATTTTCTTGGCAAGGATGACACCTCTATTTTAAGAACAGAGCTCGACACTAAAAACTTATGTCTCATTTTGAAATTTCGAATTTCATTTTAGATATCTCAGTCATTTGTTAAAGATACAGATGAGTTTGTAATATGTAAATGTTTATAGATTTTTTTTCCTCTTCTTCTTTAGCAATACTATGTTATTTACATCTTAAGTATAGTTCAAGATTTTTTAAGAAAATCAAGTAAAAATAAATACTTTTAATTGCTATTACTTAGTATTGAATTAAGATGTGTTTAAAATATCGACTTGGACTTTTTTGTGTCTTAATTGAAAAAGTGAAAATTTTAACAATCCAAAATTAATTTAAACTTTCATCTTTAGAAGTTTTGCAAAGAGAAACATTTTCTCGTTTTATCAATATTATATTACAAATTATCAGTTTTAGGTCATAGAGGAAAAAAATCTAATAAGTGTCTCTGTTCACATCTAATATCTAACACTGTTTGTTGGTTAAAAAAAGCTCTGATTCAACAATGATTTGTCATCTGCAGGAATCTGTAATCATGACTTTCATTTATTAAGCTTTAATTTTTTTTAATTTCTCAATTATTTTTCTTTATTCAGGGAAAAACCTTTTCTTTTTTTGTCAAATATAGTATCAGGGGAAAACACTAGATTGCCGAGGAAAGTCATTTTGACTGCTTTTTAATTTCAATTAGAAAAACAATGAATGACACAATATTCAATTATAAAGTTATAAAGACTCAATATATTAGAATTTTGTGACTTTTTGCGCAACATATAATTTTTTTTAATATTTACTATTAACTTGTTATATAACTATAAATAATGTAAAAAAATATTTAAAATGTATTTTAATCAAATTTCTTTACACATTAGTTATTCTTTAGGCAACCTTAGTTAGGGCAACCTTCATCAGTGCAACAACAGTTGTTGCACTGATGAAGGTTGCCCTTTGATCATCCGAAACAGCTGTCTGCTTTCTTAAAATTTTTTGTGCTCTTAAACGTTGTAAACCTTACTTTGTAAATTGTATTCCAGCACAAAGGTCGCCCTTATGTGTATTTATGGTCCCAATAGTTTGGTCAGGAGAGCGATTTAAAATTTGGACCCTTTAATGCTAACTTTCTTTTTTACGTATTTCGCTGTATCTCGAGAACTTTTTAAGCGAATTGAAAATTTTTTGTACTAATTGTAAAATTCGATTATTCAAAGGAAATGCAAAAAATAACTTTTAATAAATATTTATTATTTCATTTAATAATGGTCGAAAAATGCGGAATTGTAAGGTATACACTTTGCTGCATAATTTTGAAGAATATAATTTTACATGGTAAAATACAAAATTTGAGCAAATTCGGGGGGAAAATTTTCCCGAGAAATTGAATTTAAAAAAAAGCTAGATGTTTAAAATTCGATTTCTCAGGAGCTATTCGACCGATTTTGCTGAAATTTTGTATTTCGCTATTCGCGATCGCAACACTCGAATACGCCATCTGGGGAGAGACCGGTTTCATGCCTTTAGCCCTTCTCCCTTCCCTCTCCTCCTCTTTTCAGTTGTATAGGAATGTACTACGATATTTTCCATTTACTTAATATTTTTCCTTTTTATTTAATCAAAATATTTTTTAAAATTTCCATGATACTTTTCTTTAGAACTATGTTTAATGCAGTTTTCAGTTTCATATAGTGTTTCAAGTTGAAAGGTTTTAATCTATATGAAAATCAAGAGAGAAACTAACGTACTTCCTTCCTCTATGACTTTCCACACGCTAATGGGGAAGGCATGTGAAGTGTTGCCATAGGAAAAGAGTTCTGCTCTACGCCACCTGCAGCCCATTTCGATCGCCAATGTAAAATTACATTTTTTCAGAAGATGACCTTACACGTTCATCTTCTGAACGTGAGGTTACAATTTAAAAATTTTCGACTAATATTAAATTAACTCATTTATCATCCATCCCCTCCGCAGAGGATCAAAATTGTGATGGCATGTCTTCGGATCATCCTCCGGGATGTTTCCCAGACCGTCGCCAATAGCCCATTGTGTAGCTCTAGTGCGACGTAAATTAACAACAACAACAACTAGTATACAGGCATTAGGTTTTAACATAAGAAGATACATATATTTGCATTGAAAATAAATATATTACGTATAATAGATACATATTATTTTTTCGGTTCATTTATAAATATTTTTCCAGTGTGTTTTGGATGTTCCTTCTCTTAAAAAAAGCGATTTCTTTTTATGTTCGCTTGCATAAGGAAGAATATCAAAAAAATTTCCTTTTTTAAATTTTAATAAAACACTATAAGGAAGGAACGTTACCATGCTACATTGAAGAAATCTCCAGATGATTCTGTTGTTCTGCTAACAGTCATTCGTCTCAAATAACAACGCCACCTATAAATCGTTGCGTTTACGAATTTATAGGTCTTCAAACGAGCAAAAGTAAGTAGGTAAAATTGTTCTTTTGATTATTCAATTAAACACGTTAAGCCGTCTGCTAAATTAATGGGAATTGTTTCTAATTGTTTCAACGAAATTCTTTTCCTACTAAATTAACAAGACGTTTGTGTAATATGAAAGTTATTGAAGTTGACATCCTTCAATTATATGGGAATTATAAGTTTAAAATAATTTGCATTTTAGTATTAAATTATAGTCATCAGGATATTTGAAAACATTGTTCCATTCTAATCATTTATAAGGATTTATCAATTGGTAAGAAAAATTATTCTCATTTCATAAATTTTTAATCTGGGGTTATCAATGCCGAAAAAAAAAAGTATTTGCGCTCTTTCAAGCGACAAATAAATCGTAAATAATGACATTCTAACTGTAATAAAAGCAAAAATTTATATTTATTGAAAAATAAAAAGTACAGTTATACAAAAAATTTTAAACGTTTGCAATTTCAAAGAGAAAAAAAAGTGAATCTGACTGCACTGGTTTTAGAAAATAAAATCCTCTAATTTTTCTTAATTAAAAAAAACAAAAACAATTTTATTATATTTTACCAAACTTTTGGCATCTGGTTTTAAATATATTCTTGATCTATATTTCTTTAAAGTAATTCTTTAAATTAATTGCTGAAACGAGTTGACTGCAAATCACTTTTTGTATCATTACTGAATAATTAAATTAAACTTTTAGGAGTTTGAAATGTACTTTTAGAATGTGGAGATATTTCTGTATCTTGATCTGTTGCTCTAACAAAAAAATAGCCAAGGTGCCAAATAAATTTTAAACTTGCAAATTTTTAAACGAAAACTTGTTAAGGTTGCCTTGAATTGCTACGAGTTGGTCTCCTTCTGCGTTTTTTGTTTAGTTTCTCGCAGTCCACTGAATAGCCTTCAAATCATGAGACTGAAATCTTCCCTAGAATGTTTTTAACTTTGTTCTTTATTGTTATTGTCAGATATCAAAGCATTTCTTTTTTTGTAATTTGTTTTAAATTATATGCTATTATATATAGATTATGTTTATTTTGTATTTACAATTGAAACCAGTAAGTAGTTATGGTCAGAAATCAATTGAAAAAGATGTTTATTGAGGGAAAATATATTTTTATGCATAACTTAATTATTAGTTGACGCTAATTAATTAGCAGGAGGTCACCAATTTGACCCATGCAGATTGTTGTTTAGTTTGTGAAAATGTGATCATTAGAACAAAAGTTATTCAGAGTGATACTTCTTTTCTGTCACTGTATATAGATGGTGAAATAATAATGATATAATGATTAAAAACTGTATCAGGATATCGGGTATCAATGAAAACAGGCAGGGCAGACCGCTAAATCTAAAAACGATCAGGGAGAACACTGCTAAAGGGAATTCCACGTTAAAACTAGTTTTTAATCTATGATAATTTTTTTTTAAATATTTATTTATCAATATCTGAACAGAAACTTTGAATTCACTAGTATATAAGTTTTTACATGACTTTAAAGACTGTTTTTTTGATAAGCAAAATATAAAATTTGAGTGAATTCAGTCAGTTAATGATTTATTAAAGTTAAAAGTCTAGCATTTAAAATTTAATTTCTCAAGAATTATTGGACCAACTTTGTTCATGTTTGTCATTAAATGTTTTTCATTATTATAGTGCTTAGCATTTTTAAAAAAGTTCTTATTTTCAATTTTTAAAATTAATAATTTAGTGCTTATTTTCGATCTTTATGTGCAACACCGCTGCATTTTGCAAGATATTCTCGATTTTAGGCTTCATTTTCCACCCTCTGATATCGAACCGAAAAACCTCTTGGATCTTTTTATAATGGCCAGAATCAAGAAAAGAGTTCTTTGCCAGAAACTAGTTATTTTATCATAACCACGTAAAGTCGTTGGGAATTATTTTGCATTTTGTTAATGTAGACAGTGTTTAAAAATGTTTTTTTCCCACAAAATTTTTATTATTTTCCATTGTTTTGCCAAAAAGAGTTCTGAAAATGCGATTATTTTTTCTGCCACGGGCAACCTCTTTACATCATTTAATTATTAGCAAAGGGCATATTTTGATAATTATTTGTTCCATCATTTTAAGGTACAAAATGAAAAAGAGCCATAGTATCGGTGCAGAAACTCTTTATAGAATCAAGCAAAGATATGAAGATGCTTCATTGGTGATTTTTAATGAGATGGGACATAAAGCAATGCCAATTGGCTATTTTACATCTAAAGACAGTAACAAAAGTTACTCCTTTATCTGCCAAGGAAATACAGCAACGGTAGTACAAAAGACTGGCAACAGTGTTACAAAAGCTGATGAAAAACCCGTTCAAAGTCAAATTTGCACAATAATGTAGTTATTGTGCTCTCAATTCCCATATCAGGGTTGTTTTTTTTTCTTTCTTTTTTAATGAAACTGAACTTCTGAACAATATTTACTAACATTCAAATGTTTAATTTACCTTCAGTCAGAGTAGGCAAGGTTAAGGACAGAATGGATTAATCTGCGGTTTGAACCATCCTGTCCAAAACTTTTTATTCAAATTATGTCACAATTTAAAAAAAAACATTGTGAAAAATAAAAGGTTAATTATTTTGGACCAGAAACAAAATGAAGACAAGTTTTTGTTTTATTAAAAAAGTTAATTATTATTTTTAATATTGCATTATTCATCCTTATGCAAAAACATAATCTATCGGTATTAAAAGCATATTTATTCGTATTTAAAGGATAAGGCATTAAGTTTTGTTGTTCATTGAATTGCAGAGCTTTAAAAGTCATACTATATCTTTTCTTGTTATATTATTTTCCTTTAATAAGTTAAAGCTCCTTTAATAAGTAAAAGGTATCAAATATATATTAATATATGCAATTATTATGTGTACAATGGTTACACAGAGTGATACACATATAAAATTTTTACATTTTACCAACGTTCAAGGTTTTGGACACTTTAAGACAATTTTGGTCAGTTTAAAACCCACATATCCTCTCCAAAACCAGATTAGGATGTCCATAACTCCAACCCTGCCTTCAATTGTTATTCAGGAAATAACTATAGAAATTGAATATCAACATGATTGAAAATATTTTAAGTTTTAAAATCATGTAAATATCTTAAACTCTATTCTTCTTTAAATTTTATTAAATTTATATTTTCGATTTCAATATTAAAATTTGCTATTAGATTAAAAATTATATTAAAATTACATTCCTTAGTTATTGTCATGTAGCAATAGATATTAAAGTCAAATTGATTTAATATAACTCATACTTAATGTTTCTTAAAATTTAATATTTCTGAGGATTTTACAAGCACTTAATAATAATTCATTTGATATTTTAACACTTCTTTTACTATTGCCCAAATTTTTCAGTTATTTAATTTTATTAAAAAAATTATTTTCAACAGTTGATTTTAGCTTATTTTGTGTCAAATTTAATTACTATATAAAAACAATGCATTGAAATATTATTGAGAGTCAATTTTCTAATAGAACAAATTCATAATAGTCTACATTCTACAACTACTATTAGTGTGAGTATATTATTCTATTATGAATACATTCCACTTACAGAACTAGTTTCATCTGGCCACTATATGTTAATTTCACTGTTAAGTGTTCGTATAAAGCTGTCCTATCGTTATAAATACAACATCAAATTAAATTTCCTGCATATACTTTAACAAATTTTTAAGCATGGAAAACTAAGTTTAACTATATATTTTTATAAAACCTTTACACAAAAATAATTTTCAAACACTCTGTTGACGCACTATGCTAACTAAATGGGGTATTGAAAAATTATGTAGCTGGAAAAATTTTTACCTCCAGCAAAGATAATAAAACAAGCAGCGGAAAAAAAAAAAAGCTGATTACCTCAGATTAAAAAAACAAATATATATATATATGAAAAGTGACCTTATTTTTGCCTTGAATATTGTTCAACTGGACAGAAATAAAATTTATTATTAAAAAAAGTGTAATATTTTTACATCGGGTTAGTCAAACTACTAAAAGCTATGCATTTAAGAATATTTAAAGAAGGGAGAATTGCATTTTGTCATATAAGCCATTAATTTGAACTATGTTGCCATAAAAACTGATATTTAAATATGTAAGGCATACCTGCCAACATTGGAAAAATAAAATAAAGGAAATTTTACTAACACCATTTTTTAGGCTGTGAGTAAAGTTTTCATACATCATGCATAATCATGTATGTCAAAAACAGAAATTCAAAATTGGAAATATAAGCACTTACATTTAGAGAAGTATAAATTTGTATATATATCTTATATCTGCAGAAGATTTTTTAAACCATTATTTATAATTACTTAAACTATTAACACTCAACATACAGCAGTACTGGCAATAGCACTATCTGTTGAGGAATAAGAGAAGTATTTTTACAATCAGCAAATATTTTATGGCCAAAATTTTTGTTCTACAGCAAATACAGACAAATTTGAGAATATACGGGTAAACAGGAGATAGTCATAAAATACAGGAGTCCTCGTTAAAAAAACAGGACACTTGGCAGGTATGATAAGGTATAATTTGAGAGGAAAAAAATTTCTATCGGAATGACGTTTAGATTTTTAGTAAAATTAATATTCATAGACACCAAATTCTATTTCATTTATAATATTCTTGCAGAATAAACTATATTAATATAATAATTAAATTTTTCTCCATCTTTTTTTGTGCTGACCCTGATTTGTTTAATGAATCTCATTTTAAGCTTGATATGACATTCCTTTAAAAAATTACATCCATGTTATATATATTTATATTATATTTGTTTAAAAAATAATATTCTTGTATTCTATTTAAAGTTGTATCATACATCTTTGTAAATATATATAAGTTATGGGTGTTAACTTTTTATGGAATAGTCCATTTGTGTTTTCAAAACCGTCAAAGTATTTTTAGGGACATTTTTATTTTTTAGTAAATACTTAATAAATGATTATTAGTTTACATATTATGTATGTGAAATGAATGTTGTCTTTAAAAAATGAGAGAAAATATTTTTTATATTACTTTATCTGATGTTGCACTATGTTAAATATACTGTTAGTATTTTATTGTCAAGATCTTATTATAGTTAGGTCTTCAATTAATGTTTATCTATTTTTACTAAGAACCATTTATGTTTTATGTCAAATAAAGTTGCTTAAAAAAATTTGTTTGAAACATTTTTAAGTTGATTATTAAGCATTAAGTATTTCAGAGCAAAATCAAGTTATAAAATAATTAACCAAAATATACTATATTTTTAAAAATATGTCATGAATAATAACCTGGGTGAGTAGCGTTTTTATAATGTGCTTATTATTGATTTACATTTTTTAAAAGCCCTTAAATGTGCTTTTTTTATTCGGGGTTTTGTAAAAAGTGCTTAATTTTTTTATCTTTTAAAAAAGAGATTTTTCTTAGTCATATCGATTGTCGTTCTAAATAACAAAAATTGCATGATTTTGAAAATTTTCTCTGAAATATTTATCCAAAACTAGTTATTTTATCATGATTATATAAAGTTTTTGAGTTTTATTGATTTTATGTTTATAAATTAAGAACTTTAAACAATAGAATTTTTTTTTTTATCATTGCACAGATCCTAATTATGATATTTTTTTTTGGAAAGTGAATAAAAATTTTTTTTAAGTGCTTATTTTTTGTTGAAAAATCTGGCTATGCACCCTGATAACAAAAAGGACAATATTTTGTTATTATACACAACAATATATATAATGTTATATATACAAACAAATTTGATTTTGTCAGCAGGAAGTTTTTCTTTTATTTCTCATGATTTCAATAACATGTCATAGTATAAAATAGAATGCCTAAATATTTGTATAAAGTCATTAATACAATACAAGGAATTAAATTTTTAAAAAATTAGGTTTAAAATAATGCTATTTTATATTAATAATTAAATAAATGTAATTTTTGTTTGATTTAACAATTATTTTCAGTCAATGAAATTAATACATAAATTAGTTTAGTAAGTGAAATTAATTTTCAGACAAGTGAAAACTTGTACTACTTACAAGTTTTATACACAACGAGCAATATAGTAAGTCTAAAGTAAGAACTCCCTTGGCCATTTGTCTGGACTTGTGGCAGTGACTATGGCAATGAGGTATAATTATTTCAAGTAGGGGTGTGGGGTCACTCTTTAGTAGAGGTTTTGGTTCAGAAAGGGAATTTTTTTATTTGGTCTATTGTGTTAATCCTAGAGTGAAGAGAAGCCACCTCCCGGAAATGCACTACTCTTTTTTTCCATAGCAGCAGATGAAGAACCTAATAGTTCAGTGCTAGCCATTAGATGGAAGAAAAAAAATTGTAAATAAGAACTTTTTTCCATTCTGTTTATAATTTGCATTATTGTTTTCAACTAAGCAGAAAAATGTTTAACCCTTTTGAAATTGGATTATTTTTAAAAATTTTGACTACCATTTTTTATTTAAATGAGTAAGAACATAAGATTTGTTTTCTTAATTGATGAAATGTAAGTATTCATATTCTACAACTAGAACACATTAAGTAGCAATTTTATACATGGGAGTGTAAAATATATGTTCTACTGGTAGGTATTAATGCATTAAAGTATCAATGCTGTTACGAGGGATTCATACATAAGTTGAGTTTACTCCGATTATTTTAGAGCAGAGTTTTTTCCCGACCCAAATTATGCCATCAATGGATATTTTATCAACAAATTATTATTTTTCAAAAATTTATTCAACAGGATACAGTCATAAAATACAGGAGTCCTCGTTAAAAAACAGGAGACTTGGTATGCAATATTGACCTTCCAAGTGGCTACACTTGATAGACAGACTATTTCTAATGTCTAAATTTGCCCAAGTAATTGAATCCAGATACCTTTGTATAGTTCATTTTAGTGTTGCAGCAACATTAATCACAAAACACCAATATGGTTTATAAAGTATTAGTAAATAAACAATACAAGCTTGAAACAATGTTAAATTCAACTATGCTAGGTTCGCATTAGGCTTGCATGAACAGCCCTTTTATACGAATATTCAGATTAAATCTAAAAATATTACGCATCATTAAAAAAAATGTTGCGTTAGGGAACCTTAACATACAAAATTGGGGGGGGGGGAGCTCAATAAAAGCTAAGAAACTATTTTTTTTTTTGCAAAGGTTTATTCAATCTTTAAATAAAATTATATTTTAACATTGCTGCTTTGTAAAAATAATGATTAACCAATCAACTTTATTGTGTCAATCAAAAGAAACCGCAAATGCAACGCTTGGCATAAGGTTGCTTGTTATCTGGGGAATTTATTATTGTATTATATTTTTGAATTGTACAAGATTTATAAAAAACCTGATATTATTAAATACATAAAAATAAAGAATTGGATGGCCCATGTGATCCGAATGAGTGATGACAATACAATAAAAAAGATATTGCTTTTAGACCCACTGAAGCAGGGAAGGCCGTGTTTGAGATGGGCTGATTTGGCGGAGTCCAATTTTCTTGCAATTAATTTTTATTTTAGCTTTATAACAGTCGTTTAACAGCCGACTCAATTTTTTTGGTTTACGACTACTAATGTTAAACTCCGTAGCCTTGTAATTTTGAACCCAATACAGAAGACAAGGGAACTCCTGGATCAAGTATTGGGAGAACTTTAGTGGAGGATCTTTTGATGGAGCTAACCTACATGGAGAGGAAGACCTTTAGAACGTCCCATGGTTAGCCTCAAGGCAAGGGAACTCTAACCCATGACCTGTTAACCACCGAGGATATTTCACGTCAGTACTGTGGTAAGTGAAAGTCAGATGTGGAATTCGTATCGACCAGGCATCGCTGGGATTTAAACCCAGTTTACCTCGTTGGAAGGCAAATGCTCTATCCTCGGAGCCATCGTGACTCTCTTGCAATTAATGAAAAGTATTGGAGATCAAAGATAAATCAGAAGTCATTAAGAAGAAAGGCATTGGCCCACATTGAGCTGTCTGGCCAATGATAATGATATTTTTGAGTTTGTTACATATTTAAAATTTTCATTGTTCTATGTTTTAAAAGTTAGTAACCGAAAATTGAAATGGTATATTACAGTACAAGTAAAAAAACTGACAGTTTTATTTATAAGTCTCTGATTTGTGCAATGTTAAGAAACCAATAAGTTTGCACACCAATAAGTTTAAGAAACCCTGATTCAGAGATACAAAGTTCAAAATCTGTTTAAAAAATCAACATATTAAAAATTCATATGCATCAATATAAATACTAAATCATATTATATATGTATAATAGCATATATAGAAGAATATTAATTTTCCTACAGAAAAAACCTTTGGGTTTCAAAAATTTCCAACATATAAACACAATTTTAAACCTTGAAAAGAATCTAAAAAATTTCTACCTTTAATTAAAAAAATAATAATAAATAAAAATCAAAATATTGATAATTGCATCTTATTTATCGAAATATCACAGTAAATAAATTTTTATAAAATGTCAAACTGGAACACCGAAAAAGGTTTTAAAATATAAATTTTTCCAGACACTCCGGGTTTTCAAGAGAGGCATGTACTCTGTATTAATTACAACAAGGGTCAAGTATAAATAAGAGAACAAAAATAGTCTAAAATAATACATTTTATTAATTTGGCATGATCTATTCATGAAAGCTCTATTTAGCTGCCACTCGTAATAACAAATATAAAAATCATTTTTTTTTTTATATACACATCGGTCTCTTATATGTACAATATATACACACTCAGTTTGTTCTATACAAGTTCCAAAATCTGAAAGAGAACAAAAAAGATTCACTTATAATAAGAATAACTAAATCTAATGCAAAATTTTTTATATTGCAACCAGTAGCTGTAAATTACAAAGATTTTTTTTTTACGTAGCAAATGTGACTAACAAAAGCTATTTTTTTACAATTATACAATTTTTATATTTATACAATTTTGATACAAAGACTGCCATTAAATACAGAAGGGAAAAAAATGAAATTCAACCATGGCATTCTAAAATAATTGAGCCTAAAATTTGCATTTTCCATATCAATCAAATTTAATTTAAAAGTAACCAGATCCCTTAAAGCAAGTTTTAAGTCAACAAATGGATTTTTTCAGAGGATGAATAAAATTGTTGATTTTTATCGAAAATTGTTTCAATAATAAATATTTTAATCAATAGACTTTGCCAGAGGATGAAAGAAATAGTTGATTTTTGTCGAAAACTATTTATCAATAAGAAATATTAAGATGTGTTAAAATCAAAATGATTTTACCTATTATGTTACAGGGTATGTAAGAAATACTGACATAGTATACAATGAAAAATGCCCTCTAGGCAAAGTACGATAAAAAAGATTTGTCGGGATTGGTTTGGAAATGTTTTTTTCTGGAGATTTTTTTCTGCAAAATGACCAACGTTCAGGTCAACCTTCCTTTTTTTTCTTCAAACGGATTATCACTGGCAATGTAAAATGGATCATCTTCTATATAAAGTTAACAAAAAATAAATTGTGGTTCAAGCTTGATGAACCAGCACAAACTATATTGAAAGCCATATTGCACCAAAAAGAGATTTTGCAGTCAATTCGCTGGGATTACAAAAGTGTTGTGTATTTTGAGCTGCTTCTAAGCAACTGAACGATCTACTCAATCGTACATTGATACAGTTTCAACAATAATATATAT